CCACATGGGACGACACTTTGTGTGATCCACAAATTGTTGTTCTGAGTCTGGGTGTTATTTGTGTCCGTTTCATGTATGTTTGTAAAGTCCCCCGCCCCACAGGATATATGCAGAAGTTGTCTTTTAGTAAAAAAAAATAATTGGAACCTCTACATATACTCATTTTATTTCTATTGTAATATCTGTACGTAACAAAGGAGACATTCAACTTCAATATAATATATATAAAATTCTCGTGTCGCGGTGTTTGTTACCAAACTCCTCTGAAACGGCTGGACCGATTTTTATGTAATTTTGTGTGCATATCGGGTAGGTCTGAGAATCGGCCAACATCTATTTTTCATACCTCTAAATGATAAGGGTGACCCACTCCTAAATTTATTTTTTTATTTTTTTGACAATTTCCTAGTAATAATGTATAATAGAACAACGTTTGCCGGTCAGCTAGTAATAATATAATTATAATAAAAAACACGGTGAGGTGACGATAGCCTAGTGGTAGAACGTTCGTATGGTCGTTCGAATGTCGTGAGTTTGATCCCCAGGCGTCGTTATTGGGAAGTTAGTGCCTTCTATCTAATATCCTGACAACTGGTATAACCATACGAATATCGGTATCCCTTTGGGTTACGTAGGTCAGATGGCAGTCGTGCCGTGGAAAACCGATATTCAGCTAATAACCGGTTATACCAGCGGCCGACCTTACAAAATGTGGAATTAATAAAGGCTGGGTCAATAAAAATAATAAGAACTAAAAATGGTAACTTACGTTAAACAATATTAATAAAAAGAATAGAAATGAATAACATAAATATCTAAAAAGTCTAGGCAATTCGAATGCTCATAAAACAGCTTTAAGGTTTAACAAATTAATAAAAATATTAAGGTTTAACAAATTAAAATCAGTCTGAAGCGTTGTTAAAATTAAATTATATTATAATACGATATCATTTAGTCAATATACGAACGAAAGGAAAAATACGAATTGATGTTGCAATTGATTTAGTATACGTGAAATTATCTCGGTAACCATTGTTCTTTTTTATTGTTTTTTTAACACTAGCATTAAAATCATGGTTTAGTATGTACGTTTATATAAAAATAATTAAAATACCTAAATTTGTTAGATGACTCAGTATACTAAGGAGATATCGATTTAATAATTTTGTTCGATTATCCTGATCAGAATCTACAAGATTAACGACTTCTTCCATATCAAAAAACACAGTAATGTCTTGTCCCAAGTACTAATGCGTGTACTAAAGAATTTGTAACTTAAAATCTTGTTACTTTTTATTCTTTAATGAAAAACATCATTAAAGACCTGAAAGGCAACAATAAATAATGGTTAAAAAATTAAATACATGCCTTTGTAACTAGCTCAATTAAAAAGTAGGAGAACGCGAATTTGCGTAATAATTTTGGACAATTTCCAAGCGTTGGTTTAAAGTGAAACGTGACATGATAAAATGGCAAACCTTACTGTACACAAATGTCAAGAGACGTCAAAGATCCATCATCAAACATGGCCGCTATGAGCTGTCAAAACCAGGTCATCCTTATTGGTAGACCCAGTACTTCTACTTCAATAATAATTAGTTATTAAAGTGTATACTTAGAGTATTAATATTAGTAAATGGAGTCCTCTATTTTATCCCAGATATCATATCCACAGCAGTACGATTCTCCTTATACAATAATAGGGTCGCATTCAAATATAACTGAAATTTGGGTACTGATTCGACGTATGACTCATGGTGATATTAGATATTTAGCTCACACGTACTATTTTGTTACATTGTCCTGTGTGAAAACGTGACAAACATATTTATTGATTTGTTATTGATCATATTGATCTTCAGCGGTAAACAGGAGGCGCTTCAAGGCGGTTAAACTGCGATAAATTGGTTTGTAGTAGATACCATGATATTTTATTAGAAAATAATATATTGTCAAATTGTTGTGCATTTTTTGCCGGGCCTTTTTTCAAACTAGGTTGAGATCGGCTTTAAGTATACTACGATACAGCTGAACTTCGTTTTTTACACGGAGCGACGCCCTTCAGACAACAACCACCCAAGTACCTAGGTATGATTCTTATAGGCGATATGGAAGTTTTGTAGAAAGACTGACGAAATTTTTAGGGCTCCAATTACCCGTAACGATTGCCACAGATGTTCATGTTCAACTGGGATCGCTTGCCACTTAGCTTCGAGCCCCTATTTTGCATATTTTGTCAATTTATTTTTAATCTACTGCACACTGTACACTGCCACCTCGCAATTTAGCCGAGATGCGAGGTTTCATTTGTTAAAACGGCAGAAAAAGCGGTACCGTGCCAAGGTGTTATTTATATTCGCTGTAAATTGTTATTAGTACTACTTAACAAAATGTTATTTGAAAAAAAAAAGTCTTAAAAGAGAGTGTCCTTGGAGTTTCTTGCCCGTTTTTCTGCACATCCACAGGATCTAGGTACGTATTTAAATAGGCGACTAGTTTCACATCTGTTTTAAGAGCAGAACACACCGCCAACTAGTAATCTGGCAAGTGAGGTTTGGCAAGCTAAACTATGTGCGTTCACACTGAAACCACGGACGGACTCGTGAGCGAGCGGCTGGAGAACAAGGGGAACGTTATACGATACACATCCTATTCGCAACTAAACTACACTCCTATTCGAAAGACGAGTGTTGACTACTCCAAAGAAGATAGATAGATAGATAGATAGATAGATAGATAGATAGATAGATAGATAGATAGATAGATAGATAGATAGATAGATAGATAGATAGATAGATAGATAGATAGATAGATAGATAGATAGATAGATAGATAGATAGATAGATAGATAGATAGATAGATAGATAGATAGATAAATACTTTATTTGTACACCAATGTTTTACAGACATTATACAGTAATTAACGACCGATGTAATGTACAAAGGGCGGCCTTATCGCTTAGTGCAATTTCTTCCAGGCAACCTTTGGATGGATTCATTTTGAAATGGTGATAGGTATACCTACATAAATTAGAGAAGTAAATAAGGTCTTCACCTATAAAATATTTTTTATACATAAATACTACTAATCTATATTTATACATAAATACTATACATACATACGTTAATATATAAATACGCTAATTTTCAACTATTAGAGACAGATAATGCTCATATAGCATAGTCTTGAAGGTGGTTACGGATTGCGCACGTCTGATAGTAACCGGCAAGGCATTCCATAAACGTACAGCTTCTACGGAAAATGACTTTGTGTAGAAATTGGTAGAATGCCTTGGTATTTCCAATCTCAGGCTTTCAGAGGACCTCAGACATTTCATATGTGTGTCATGAAGGAACTTAAAGCGTTCTTTGAGGTAAATAGGAGTTAATGGATTAAACAGTATATTATACAGAAGCTTAAGGATATGAGTATTCCGGCGAAGGCGGATCGGAAGCCACCTGAGCTTTTTACGGTAGTGGGAAACATGATCATATTTGTGAAGTCCAAATATGAATCGTATACAAAAATTTTGGAGACGCTCAAGTTTATCAAGATGTGCTTCGGTGAGATCGAGATAGTTAACGTCGGCATAGTCAAGAATCGGAGCGTTTGTGCAAGTGCAGTTTTAGTAGCAGTCGGAAGAAAGTTTCGTAACCTTCGCAAAGATCCCGCTGCAGCGAAGACTTTGCGGCTCACCTCCTGAATCTGAGGTCCCCATGATAAGGTGCTATCAATTATAACTCCCAAGTTTTTTACTTTGCTGCTGATCGGTATGATGGTATTGTTAAATTGAACTGGAGGCAAATGTGACCAATTAATTTTAGCAGACATTATGGGACTCCCAATGATGCATACCTGTGATTTTGTGGGATTAATTTTGAGTCCATAGTCGTTACTCCAAGCACTTATGTGCTCTAGATCTGCATTAATAATATTAAGCGCAGTCGATGACATACTGACAGGTGCATGGGTGTATATCTGTAAATCATCAGCATACAGGTGGTAGGATGAAAGTAAATGATTGGAAATAGAATTAATAAAAATTGCGAAGAGTAATGGAGATAGAACGCCACCATATGGGACACCGACAGTTGCATTACACCATGAAGAGAGGGAGTCTTCAAGTCGAATGCGATGCTGACGCCCAAACAGGTAATTGTGAAACCAATCAATTACCCCTGGAGATATGTTAGAGCGAAGAATACCAAGGAGAATATGGAAATCGATGGTATTAAATGCGTTACTGAAGTCGAGTAAGGATAATACCGTTACGTTTCCACTATCCATATTTCCTCTAATATCATCTGTGATGTGGACTAATGCTGACACTGTACTGTGTCCTGCACGGAAGCCAGACTGAAAGGGATTTAGGAGATTGTTGAGATTAGCTAAGCTTAAGCAGAAAGTTGCACCGGGCAAGCAGGCGCCAGCCAGCGAGCAAACGGGCTTATCTTTGTAGTTCGGAGTGTGAACCGAAATATGAAAACAGGTGAAACAATACTAAAGCACGCTCGCTCGCTCGCTGGCGGTGTGGCCTGCGCTTTATTCTAACGCATATTCCTTACTCCTTACATATAAAAAAATACTTTATGGTAGACCTAGCTTTTTAATGGCATAAGGCGGTCCTTATACACATCAGCAAACAACCTTACAACCGTACAAACAAGCAGCAAAATTCTGTATCATCATCAACAAAATACTTATGAAATCGTCAAGGCGTAGAACTTTTATTTTGTTAAACGACGATAATTCACATCTTTGCGATTGGTGAATTATATGAAATCATTAAATATGCATAAGAGCTGAAACTGTGGGTTTATACATACCTACTAAATATTTTTGTGTTCACAATCGAAACACAAATAGAAAAATAGACTTCGCAAACGTATCTAGAACGTCATTTTGACATTTGCTTGTTGTGACATTTTTATAACTTACTTTTGGACTTTGCTCAGTACATTTTGAATTCTTTTTTCAAATATACGTCTTGTAAATCGTTATGGCTTCATTAATTAAAACAATTGGATTTAACCAATCAAGAAAAAGCATTTCAAGTAAGTATTAATATTAGGAGACAAATATATATTTAACATAATATATGTAAATTATCTTTTTTAATCGTAATTAAAAAAAAACAAAGGTGATCTCCTTGATATGAATATAGAATATATATTAAAAAGTAATCACTTTGAATTTATATAACACTATTTACTTATTGTGTACTCCATTCTCAATTTTCAGACTTTTTGCTTCGTGCCTACTCATCAAACACAGAGGTACCTCAGTTTGAGACCCTAGCTGTGTCTGTACCCAAAAAAAATGTTTTCCATGTGGAGCTAAATAGACCTAAAAAGGCAAATACATTCAGTAAAGCCATGTGGTCGTAAGTAGGAGTTTATTAGTATGTAATATATTTTTAATTGCTTATATCAATTCCTGGCTATGCACTTTGGAACTTACATATAATCTAGGTATAATCTTGATTTAGTCTTTGTCATAATTTGTTAAGTGACTAATGCTGTCATGGTACAATAACCTATATAAAGATAGTTCAAGTTAAACTGGGGATTTAAATAAAACAGCCAGACTTCAACCTCGAGGCTATCCCTAGTTTCTGATATGTAGAATATAAATAGTTTAACACCATTGCATATATTGAGTTTCACAAAATAATTTATAATATCAAGATCCCTTCCCTCCCCGATTAGGCCTTTTATGAGCAAGACATAGGACCAGGATAGTAAGCGCACATTGGGGGAGGCCATTGTTCAATAGGCTCATGATTATATAGGACCAAGTGAGTGGCCATATTAGGTCCTACACTATTTGGTAAACCCTCAAATTAAACCCTTAATATTTAAAATTCATTAATTTCACTCATAAAAGTTGTTTTTCTGCTATTTGATTTTTTAACCAGAAAACTAATATAATCTTATGTTGATTTTCAGGGAACTAAACCAGTGTTTCTCATCTCTGAGTAATAATCCAGAATGCAGAGTGATAGTTTTATCTGGTCAAGGAAAGAATTTTACTGGAGGTAATTATTATCTTATATAAATATGGATTTGTTTATATTCTATGTGCTTATCTGATCACAATTGAATTTTGGATACACTTTGCTAGGGACACACAAAAGGGACATAGAATACATCTCATTAAAAAATAAAAGAGTACCTAGGGATGAATAAATGAATAAACAACTCATTTAATACTCACCGTAAAAAGTTCTAAAATGATCAGTGACCTATATTTTCACAAAAAAATATGTACATAAATTCTAAGTTGAAAATATTGAAAATGGCGTGACATCACATCACATAAACAGCCTTTAATAGTCTCTGCTGGACATAGGCCTGTCTTTAGAAAGAAGGTTTTGGGCCTACTATAACACGATGGCCAGATGGTTGGATGGTTGGTTAGTATAGGGTTTGTGTTTAGTTTTTCTTCTCTTGGCAGTGCCGTTGTCCTGAGTAGTTTGCTGCCTTAGTTTGGTGACACTCTGTATTCTTAATCAGTCACCTTTAAAAACCAAGTCAGTTTAACAAAAAAAGTTAGTTACTATGTAACATTTCAATTATCAAAAGATAAATGCCATCGTGGAAATGACACTAACTTTAAAAAAAATTGGGGTTACATTTTGTGATTCATCATTCGTTCATTCATTCCTAAAAAAACAACTGACCATTTAAATACTCACAATCACTGAAAATCGAGTCACATGTCACTCTTTAAACCCAAAAAAAATTAATTGTCGCCGTTACCCTCTTCATTGTAGAATATATAATTCCAAGTTGAGAGAGATTAATTAACTTCTGTGCCATAATGTATGCCACTAGAGTTTTATTGAGTTTTATAATCTAATGTTTTCAGGCATAGAATTAAACAGTTTAGTGGAAATGGCGGCTGCAGCTGAAGAACTTTCGGATACAGCGAGGAAAGCACGCTTTCACTACCACTTTATCAAATATGCACAGGTAATAGGAATAAAAAGGTGGTGGTACATATGAGGTGGTGGTGGCATTTTAGCATAAGAACTAATTCAACCATTAGAACCAGCCGACGATCTGAATTATATGAGTAACGTTTGTCAGGTCACTAACATAAATTTTGTTATTGGAATTTTAGTAATTGTAGCGAGAACTTCCATTGCGTGATGCAGTAGTTACTATTGGCCTGTGACAAGTCAATAAATTCTAACAGAACTAAGTCTATCGGGCAGCTAGTCTTTTATAGTTAAGAATATTTTTCTACATTGACAATATTATTTAAATTACAGGATGGCATAACAGCGCTAGAAGACTGCGTAAAGCCAGTACTGACTGTGATACACAGCGCATGCGTGGGCGCTGGTGTTGATCTCGTCACAGCTGCAGATATTAGGTAGGTGAGCATTGAACTGCAGGAAAAAGGTTACATATCAAACCTTTACTTCATTTTTCATGTTGTTTTTTTGTTTTGTTAACTGAAATCAATGGGATTGGTTTAGTTAAAAGGGATCGAAGTGTGTATAGTCCTATGCAAACTTAATGGCGGCTCTAAAGTTAGCTGCGCAGGTACCTACATTCAAGTCGACTTGATGTACTTAGACAGGAATATGCGCGCATGTGCAGTAACTCACACACTAAAAGGCATGCGTGTCGTGTGTCGCCCTGCGCCCGCGCTCGTACGTCCCGCTGCTGTCTATTATTGTGTACTACGTATCGAAACGCACGATGTTCCGAGCTGCCATTAAGTTTGCATCGTACTGTAATATCATGCTCGGCACACAATTACTTGTCCTGATTGCGAATCGAACCCATGACTTCTAGTTTAGTAGTAAGGATCTCTAACCACTAGTTCAACAGGCTAGTAACAATAATCCTCTTGAGGACTTCAGTTCATCATTTCAGTCTAATGAGAGTAAGAAAGGTGATGAAAAAATAAAAGTGTAAATAATGTCTGGGCCTCAGGGAAAACTAGTCTCCACTCCGCTCTAGTCCACCCTCTTTCATTACTATTTACTGAGTGAATGAGGTTACAGGTCTTTTCTTATTTTGGGTATTAAGTATGGCGATGGATTAATACGGAGTGTCACCACCCCTATTCAACCAGTGGGTGTCGTAAAAGTCAACTAAACCTCCTATCTAAGAAGAGTCCTATGTCTAGCAGTGGACTATTGAAGTCTGTTGTTGATGGGGGTATACTTCCCGTTTGGTCTTATTTAAATTTAGAGATAAAATACCACCCCTAAAGATAGATAATTAAGGAATGAAGAATTGTTTATTACGGTTCATTATGATATGTCTCATTGAAGTCGGTTGCACTTGTTTAAAAGTAAATTATCTAATTTCAGATACTGTACAGAAGATTCATGGTTCCAAGTGAAGGAGGTTGATGTTGGACTAGCAGCTGATGTTGGCACATTGCAACGGTTACCAAAAGTAAGTTGCAAATTGAAATAGAGTGCTCAGACTTATGTTAGTTTAGTTACGCGATCTTGACCTGCCTGACCTTTATGGTATAGTAATAGCTTCACACATCTCACACACGGTTGTCTGGTTCCTAACTAGGCAGATCTTGAAATATGGTAACCAGACTGCTGATAAACATAGTTACATATTTGTAAATACATACTTATTATAGATAAATTACACCCAGATACAGAACAAATCATCGTGCTCATCACACAATTATTTGTCCTGAGTGGGAATCAAACCCAAGACCCCCGGCTTAGCAGTCAGGGTCACTAACCACCAGACCAACAGGCCCGTCGATATAGGGTTGCAAACGAGCAGAATAGTCACGTGATGGTAAGTGGCTACCGCCACCCATGCTCACTTGCAACTGAAGAGTCACAAATTACCGCCGTTATAGTACCTCCCCCCCCCGGAAAACAGGGGGAGTGGGTGGGCTTTTTGTGAAGCCATGGTGTCACTCCAGTCGAGTTGGCCAATTTGAGCTTATTATTCACTATGCCAAGTTTCATTATGATTAAAATAAAAATCTTCTTGTTCTTTTTTTTTTCTAAGGGTTTATCTGAGTTAAAACATCTTAAAAAATATAAGTATAGATTATTAACACAATTATCTATTTTTTTAGTTATGTTATTATTTAAATTTTACCTATCGCAAGTAAAATACAGCATAAATGGAGGTAAAATTCCCATAGTTTGATTCTGTCTAGTTTGGGATCGGACGTGTGAGATGTATTGAATATTTTTGTTACTAGTTCAGGAACATCAACTGACCTTGACCCTGACATTACTAATTTCTTCGTTACAGGTGATTGGCAATGACTCCATAGCCCGCGAGTTATGCTTAACCGGTAGAAAATTCGATGCCAAGGAAGCTAAAGAAATCGGACTGGTTAGCAAAGTATTTCCCGACAAAGATAGGTAAGGGATCATCCAAAAGTTATGTGAGTGATGAACGGGGTGCTATATACCTTGACCTTCACCGATCTGGTTTGAACTTGGCAACCAAAAGAGGAATATCTTTTTATAAGTTGCCCAGGCGTCGTTGTCGTTGCTGCTTTTATGCTTATGACAAAAGTTTCTGGTCATTCTAAAATCAATTCCATTATTTTCGTTTCGACAATTCACAACAACAATCAATACATCCATTTACTGGATTAATGCAATATTAATAATATTTTTACAAGTTATTAAGTTTTACCCGTGCCATCGTTCGCATAAAAATATTCATTCATTTAATTTTTTCAATAATAAAATTTACTTTATATTCTTTAACATTATGTAATGAATTTATAATACACTAGCTGACCCGCGCAACTTCGTCTGCGTCTCTCAATAGTAATAAATTTTCTCCGTTTTTGAAACATTCTTCATTGTTGCTCCGCTCCTATTGGTCTTAGCGTGATGATATATAGCCTATAGCCTTCCTCGATAAATGGGCTATCTAACACTGAAAGAATTTTTCAAATCGGACCAGTAGTTCCTGAGATTAGCGCGTTCAAACAAACAAACAAACAAACAAACTCTTCAGCTTTATAATATTAGTATAGATTATATCGGGTGTAAGGGACATCGTAACGAATACTGAAATAGTGTATTCAGACTATCATTCTGATTTTAAAATCATTGGAATTTTATGCCGGAAAGTTACACTATTTATGCAATCAGCTGTTAAAGGTAAAGGTAATTTTCCGTAGGTATCGCACTAAAGTAATAACTACACGTGTATTCCGTGCAAACAGTCTACGCACACTAACACACGTTGGCGGCAGAGGAGAGGCCCCGCGTGCTTCGGCTGTTTGATTAATCACATTGCAGTTTTTATCAGTATGCGGTATTTTTTTTTCGGTAAAATGTTCTGTTTACTCATAGTCATAACATTTTTAACCAAAAAAAGTGGAAAATAAAAATGATTTTCGACTCAGAATGATGGTCTGAATACACTATTTCAGTATTTGTTACGACGTCCCTTACACCGTCTATATTTTTATTATTGTTGTAAAGTGAACAACCTTTATCACGTCTCAGAAAGGCTAAACTTTAACCCCCGACGGAAAACGAGAATTGTTAAAAGTTTAACCTCTGTATCTGCGTATCTGTGTATCTGCCTGTGGCATCATAGCTCCCGAACGGAGGGACCAATGTTGATGCGGACTTTTTTATGCAAGGATCTCACTAAATTCCACAGGTCCGATTGATCTGAAATTTGGAATACTGTTACTTTTATGGTATTTCGACGACATGGTAGCCTGGAACTTGCTGCTGCATCAAGTAGTCTGCGGGATAACCAACTCTTTAGAAAACTACAGTACATATACCATGTTTGGGCTTATTAGAACAGCCCAATGAGCAGTTGTTGTTTTTTTTTTAAGTTTTTTTGTGTCGGGGATTTATTAATTATGTTATTATTATTTATTTCTTTGAATAAGCACTTTATAAATCAATTATTCTATCCAACCTGAACTTTAACAGTCTGTACTTAAATCCTAACTCTTTTTTTTCACAGTGCTTTGAACCACGTTATGGAATTAGCAGTGAACATAGCAGCCAAGAGTCCCGTTGCTGTCCAGACCACCAAGATGAGCATGGTGTACTCGCAGAGCAGACCTAACCCAGACGGACTCGAACACGTAGTAAGTACATTTTTAGTAGGCGCAGTGATCGGAATGCGTTCAGACGTGTTTTGTTTCGCTCAAAAAGAATTTACGTATCGTAAACATTAAAATTATTTTCTTAAACTGTTATTAGGTAAGGTGTGTTCTTGAAAAACTTTGATAATAATGCCTGGAAGCCAGTGTGATTGTTGTAAAACATGGCGGGAAACAAACAGCGTTCCGATCACTGCGCACTGTGTCACTCGCATACAGTCGTGTGACCTATATTTATCCATATTGTGTAGAAGACGATGAACCAATATTAAATAGTACTCAGATACAAGCTTAATAAGAGTAGTAACCGTTTAAGGAAAAGTCAATGTGGTTCATGGAACGCTTCATTAAAAAATATAATTATAAGAAAAAAAAATACGACAAAAACGCATAAAAAAAGGCGAAATACTCTCTTTTTGAGAAAGAATTTCTATGACTTATTATATTATTTATTACGTAAATTACAGAAAACAAAAAAGTATATATCTTCAACTATACAAAGGTGTTTAAAACTATTCTGAAATCGGTAAAAAAATATTCGAGTGTGTGATGGGCGAAAAATGGGCCTTATCAACCCACCTCCTTTGCACGGAACCCTCAGTTTGCGAGTCCGACTCGCACTTGTTCGGATTTTAGTATCAATCTGCTCACCGGACGCCACGTCACCTATATAATCACGATGAAATGCATTAGTTTAAAACCAGTTCAAATTAGATCCTCCATCTCAACTTGCTTTTTTTTTACTTGATAAGTTACTATAGACGGGTGATTTACCTTCTTTACTTTCGTTTGTTATGCTTAGGTTCGTTTTCGATATTGCGCCAGTCCGGCGATCATGAATAAATAGGAAATCATTTATCATTTTTTATTATTATTTTATTTTTCATAAAGGCTTACTAGCAACCGAAATTACTAGTATTCCCGTTAACCCCTCCAGCTAAGCTGAACTGCTTGTGTTAGGAGTGGGTTCTCGTCGGTAGTGTCGTTCAGGACACTACCGACGTGTCATAGTGTGTGTCGGTCAGGATTCGATTGCAAGTCCAAGCCTTAACCACTAGGCTACCACCTCTTTAAAAATGAATGATGATGAATAGTTTAAATAATAATAATTGCACACATCTCACACGCGGCAGTCTGATCCCAAACTAGGCAGGACCTGTACTATGGTTATCAGACTGCTGATACTAATATGTTTCTAAATACATACATATTATAGATCAATTACACCCAGACACAGAACAAATGACCGACACACAATTTTTGTTCTCGGTGGGAATCGAACCCATGACCTCCGGCTTCGTAATCACTAACCATTAAACTAACAGGCCCGTCAAATCAGTACACAGTCCAGATTGGCTTCACGAATGCAAAATTTTTTAAATGTTAAAAAAAAAACAGGATTACGTCATCAACCCTCCTTTAATACTACGCAACATGTTAACGTGTGAGAACTCAGGGACCATACTGGTATTTCGTAAAATAAAATATGACTTCTTAGTACACTTGAAACAATTGTAGGACAATTCTGGAAATAAAAAAAATATATTTAAAAAACTACAGCTCTTAAAGTTCGCTCCATCGGTTCTCACAGATTATCAGCCAGATCTCGGCAAGTGTGACATAATAAAATAATTTACGACAACATTTCGGAAAAGCCTCAGTACTATTAGACATGTATTGAAAACTTACCAAAAAAAAAGTTATTGAAACTCCATCTCAACTTGCTTCTTTTACTTTACAGCGCTTGTTGAACGCTGTGATGAACCAAGGAGAAGATCTACCGAAAGCAGCCATGGCACAAGCTACCAAGAGCCCCCCACCGGAGTTTGACAACTTATAAACGCTATGTCATAAAACTATTCGTGTTTTTTATTGACAGCATCAAAGCTCGTTAAAGGCAACGTAATAAAATAAAGATAAGAATAACATGTAAAAAACGTATTATCCACTTTAATGAGTAATAATTTGTGTAAGTGTAAATCGGCTTACATCCATTTGAATTAAAAAAGTATTTACTTTAATCTGTTCAAAAATGGCGAAGATATCGCATATTTTACACACAAAAAAACACGCTTTCTATAAAATCCAAACTTAAAAATAGAAAATAAATTTAAAAAAAAAGCGTGGGGTGCTTTTTACCATTGACATTTTTTTTTTGTTTTTTAAATTAGTGTATTGTCATCGGTCCTCGATATATCTACAAAGTTTGAACGAATTATGACCGTTTTAAGTCAGTCAAAATCACGCCCAAAGGAGTCGGTTACAAACTTACAAAGAAACATACAAGTGAAGCTAATATAAAGCGTGTAAAAAGAAGTAGTCAGTATAATTCAGAATTTCCTTCTTTTTATGTCAGTTAAAAATATGTATTTTACAGTTGATTTCTATTTTACAGTTGATTTCTAGCACCGTGTTTGCACATTTTTTGATGATGTTTCTTTATAAATTGATGAGTAAGAAATGTGAACGCGATGTTTGGCAACGTACCATAAACTTAAGCCACAGGACTTGTAATCACTGCATTATATATTATGTTTTTAAGCAGGGTAGCGAAGTGCTAAGATATTTGAGACGTATAGGGTAGTGTCACATGTTTAAAAAAAATATATTTAGCCAGTAAAATGAAAAGCAACAAAAGTACAGAATGAATTGTCCTCCATTAATAAAATATTGTTTTTATTTATAAGTAAATGATTTCACAATAGCTAGGTATGACGTCACACCTTAGTATTTCATACAAAAATGTAAAATCGTTTTGATTTAATAAAATATACTGATTTGACTGGACAGTGCCACATTCTAAGTTACCTTAGGCGAGTGTTGCTTTAGTGGTATTTTGTTAAGAGTTTTGTCGATTATCAAATAATATATTTTTATACACACGGCCTTCTAATCCTGAACTAAGTAAAACCTGTACTAGGGTAATCAAACAGCTAATAAATATATATATAAATGACTAAATACATATTATGAATAAACTTTACACCCAGTTACAGAACGTGATAATCAATTTTTTATTGTTGATGGGTATCGAACCTACGAACAGTAGACCAACATAGTTTCCATAAGTTCTTAATTTTAGCTTTATTAAATATTTAATCAATAGAACTTGTATTAAATGTAGATATATAAAAATATATTTTTTAATGTTGGCCTTTTTGTTTGTATACTTATATTAAATAAAAATCAATTTATTCATTGTGTTTTTATTTATTTCGTTTTAAAGTGACGGAATACAACTAGTTAACAACCATCCCTCGATTACGTCACACGTTAAAATTGGGGAGAATATTAACGAATTTAGATCAGGCTCAGAATTAAAAGACTAATAACAGAAGATGTTTTTTTGATTTCATGATATAGGAGGCAAACAAGCGTGCTGGGCCTCAATTCTGCTATTTTAATATTGTATCAAAGGACTGTCGTCGTTGGAATAGTTTTGCGATTTTCGTATTCTACTAACTATGTGAGATCAATATGGGCTCCCGATGACTTGTCACTGAACTGCCACTGATACATAAATCGTCGATGTTTTTGTAATAGTTTGGTATATACAGTACATTAGTATTATACATTATAAAATTGTAAGGAAACGAAATATTAAATTTTCCAGATATGGCAATGTTGTTGATATCACCATTAATGGGCCATTGTCACTACATCGACAGTCGATTAACACTGAATTGATGTTAGTAGAATACCGATAATTTGACCGATGTCAATAGCGAGTCAATGAAATTACTAGCTTGAACGTTAACATAAAATAGCAGAATTGAGGCCCTGGTGACGTTTGATAAGTAACATTCACTACCACGCCACGACACTTACTGCCACGCCACGACACGACACTTACTGCCACGCCACGACACGACACTTACTGCCACGCTACGACACGACATTTACTGCCACGCCACGATACTTACTGCCACGCCACGACACTTACTGCCACGCCACGACACTTACTGTCATAAAATAACCACTTGGTACTTGGTAAAAATTGGACTCGTTGCTATCCTCAAAAGTTATTCAAGCTACAAAATGCTGCATTTGCTGCTAAAACGTACCATGACGATGCTTGTCTAAAGTTGTCTATGTCAATTGAGTTCTTCAGAAGGTAAGGGCTGAAAATACCCTTCTCAGTTACCTACTATTAACTAATGGCTGGAGCGTAACACCTACCTCATCTATAAATATACGAATATAGATACCTACTTAAAAATAATTTAAATAATTTCGATATGTAGTAGTGTAGACATATAAAAATGTTCCTTTTTGTTATTAGTTCACAACTTAAAGCATATAGTTTATTTATATACTTCTATATCATCATATCAGATATCTAAGAGCATTGTTTTATATCACTCAGATGAAAAAAGCCTTAGGTAGTCATGGTAAGCGCTTACCGATACACGTGAACACACTCCTAACACCAGTGTTAGGAGTGTGTTCACGTGTATCGGTAAGCGTGCTTTTGTCACGGTTCACGTGTATCGGAGCAGTAATCCTCGCAAGTTAACAACTCTGTTCTGGATAGGAACAATTCCCTGTAAAAGCTGCACTGTGTAATTCGCCAGTTGTCAATTCCTAACCCTTCTGAATTACCAGCGCAAAAATATAGCCTAAGAAAACTTTGACTACGTCTTACTGCTGTATTTTGTTAAGCATAATCGGATGGCTCCAATTGAGACAGAAATTTTGCGTACCCTTCCTTTGAAAGCTAAACTGCCTCCTCTAACAACCAAATTCTATGACGCTATAAGCCCTATATAACAATATTAAATTTGACTACGTACACCAGTACATAAGCAGACAATTCAAATCGCTATTTCTTGTATAATCTAATCAAGCGTCTCTAATTTGATTATAAATCCGCCGTACTCATATAAAAGACATGAACCCAATATTCAGCATATACAACAGCGTTATTCATCAATGAAACTGTATGACCTAGTTTTGAGCGGAGTTAGTGCAGTCACAGGTAAAGCGCAAGTACACCCCGCTTTCCTCTGCACCAGATTCGATTGTACTGAAGTTTGCGTCATACGTATGACGTCAGTTTTAGCCTAGCACACCCAGGCACCGGAAATAGACAACGAAATATATTTTATAAACCCTATTATACAAAGTAGGTAGGTTAAGGTAAAAACTAAAAGCATTCTTAATTACAAAATGTTTCTATTCTGTTAAAGAATACATTGAGGAAAAAAACACTTAACAAACTACATTTCTTATTACACGGAAAACAGAAAGCATATACCTAAGTACAAATCATAAAAAGAAAAATCGGTCGTGATGCTCGGAAATGCTAGGGACAGTAGGAAAATGTGTATATGTATTAGTGATGTAGAATGTCGGGTGCCTTCGTATTTTTGCATGCTTTATTTGATTGTTATACTGTACTATTAAGTCACTTAATTTGTATTGTTCAAAAAATGCTTGTACTTGTGTAACAATTTATTCTTCTGCGTTCTCTCTCAAATTTTTGCAATGCCTGGAGAAGGCTTCTGAGTTGGGACTACTACATATAATATTATAAGATCATTGATGTACACTTGGTTGGCAAATAAAGATTTGATTTGATTTGATTTGATTTGGTTAGGTTTCATACAGATAAACTTTTTTTCACAAATAACATCTATATATTTACGACGTAGGTTAAATTACAAAACTGGTTATTTTTAGTTTATCTACATAAAAATATTAGGAACAATAATTACTTGACACGATCACACGACATCTCACACGCGGTTGTCTCATCTCAAACTAGGCAGAGCCTGTACTATGGTAACCAGACCGCTGATAAACACACTTATATATTTCTAAATACATACATAATATATATAAATTAGACACAGCACTAGTGATCGTGTTTATTAGACATTTATTTTTCGTGGGTATTAATCGAACCCACTACCTATCCGTCAGTAATCCGGATCACTACACACTAGCCAACATGTAATAAGTGTTTTAAACGGTATTTTAATACCTATAAATAATATAATATAAATACCTAGGTATATAACATTAATCTACGTACTATAGGAGCGATAAGCTGCTCCTAAATATAGTGCAAACCTGGAGAATAAATGAATAATCCCTTCGGATTTCTTAGTCCTGGGAGACGCAGGAGAGTATGTGGTGTTTCTACTAAAACCACACCGACGGCAGGCCTCAAGCGCCCTAATCTGGGTAGGACCCGGCCCATGTGTTTTCGGGTCGCCCCTGAACCGACGCCGAATCTGGAAAATACCTAGTATAATTGTAAATGTGAGTGAGAGAGATATTTTATGGTGTTAGGGCAAACGAGCAGACGGGTCATCTGATGGTAAGTGACTACAGCCACCTATGGACACCTGGCACTCAGGAGTCACAAAGCTCCAAGGGGTCTGAGTCCTCCCCCCCGGAAAACCCACCCAGATTTGTTCCCTGGTAACCTCACTCGGTGAAAAGCAACGAAGGAACATCGGTTTTCTGTGAGATCGTGGCATCGCTTTAGTCGAGTCGGCACATTTGTACCGTACCACTCAGTAAGTCAGCAATCAGTAACGACATAATTTAAAATACATAAGTAAGAAAGAAAAACAATTTATTAGTAGACTTAAGAACATACACTCACAATATACGAGTGAATTTAATACTAGGCTTAAGCGAAAATATATTTTTACGTGTAGGTACCTCACGTGCCAGTCGAATAGGACCGAGTTCAGCGTCTGCTTGACAGATGTAAAGCGCTGGTATTCAACCAGACATTGTAATGAGTGACGGACGTAAATCGGCCTATGCAATAACAAAAATTGTAATAGTTATGCTAATATGAACTATACTTTAAAGGAGCTAAAGATATTATTATAAAATAAGCATAAATAATATACTTAACCATTCAGTATAAAATCTACCGTAAAAGCACATTTAAACTGCATCCATTTTCAGTTTTATTATAATTTTTGATTAGGTCCAAGCGAAACAAGATTCATATAGTATCTACACGTTAAAAAATAAACAAAGAATGGAAATAAGAGATTCATGCCTCCAGAAGTTCTTTCTGGAAATTACGCTTGTAAACCCTGAAAAAACACTGGTGTACCTCAAGGTAGCATTTTGGGACCGCTGTTGTTTCGCCGGTAGTCTACTGCTGAACTTAGGCCTCTCCTTAGAAAAGAGGTTTTTTTCCTACTATACCAGTTGATACAGGGTTTGTTTCAAATTTTCCTTCTCTTATATATAAGTTTATTAGCAAGATTTTAATCTTAATTAAAATTATGGTAAATTTGAGGTTCTTACATGTTCAAGTCTTAACAATTCAACCGATCATATTAAAATGCAGCATAAATACACGTTGTCGGCTTACAATAAAGGAGATGCAACATATTTATTTGGAACTAAAGTACCATTCCTGAGGGATCGAAGATAAGTTTTATGCGGGTGTAAGCTGGTAGAGATAAAAATCAAACTTTGAATATCCTAATTCAGTAGTTACCTACATATTTAAAAGAAAAGAAACCTTATTTTCAATTCAATGAAATGACTATTTCATTCAACAATAACAATATCAGTTTAATTTTGAATTTATGTAAAACAATAGTTTTATTTAATATGTTTACTAAGCCGCCTAATCAGCAATAATTTGGATAATATTAATAACTGTTTTTTTTTGATTAAATTTGTAGTCGCGTCACATTTAAAAGAAATCAATGGATATCTTGATTTTACGTAAACAACCTTTTGTTATACATAAAGCCTTTACAGTTTACAAGTTTTGGTTTATTAAAAATAACTGAGATAAAAAAACCTTAAGGTTGTCCTCTATTTTTCATAAAATGACTTAAATCCAATAAAGTTTAATTGAATAATGGATAAGCTGTGGTATTTCGGTGCCTAACCGAAGCCTCTTCAGATAATTCGCACATGGCATTGACCTAGAGGTGTTAACTTTAGCAACCAAGGACAAAGAAATTGGGACGAGGGATATAAACTTTTAGCTACTACCATAAATAATAGACAAAAAATAAAAACTACTTTAACTTCTTAAAAAACTAATTTAAAAATAAAATTACATAAAAATTAAAAATAAACTAAGTAGGATAATTATTTTCATTACAATTAACATAACATTTCCCCACTGTCTTAAAATACCCGGCAGTTAAGTAACAATAAATCCCCAAAAATATTAAAAAAAAGCCATAAAAAAAATTGCTGACGTCATGACAAACGCGAACTACGTCACTGCATCGGCTATTAACAAAGAAAATCAGGTAACCTACTTTACGGAGGCTGCATTTACGCTTGCTGCGAATGACCTGCCCAAATATAGAGCAGCTATAAATAGAACTTGGGGGCCCGTATGCAAGCGCCGCCTATGAATGGTGCAAGCAACCTGCATGTAGGGCACGTTGCAATGATTTGACCTATTTATTTTTCAATGGGTCGGTGTATGAACGGGGATGGGCCCATTGCGAGGCTTGCTTCATTCAGTAACAGTCGAACCCTCGAGGCCGACGTGACCCAATTTCGTTCCCGCGGTACTGAGCCGAATATCTCGGTATTATTTGTGAATTTTTCGAAAAATAGTGTCCTACTAGAAAGTTATTTAAAATTATTCACGATTTATTAAAATTCAGAAGTACAGTATAAGGGTGGAAAAATTTAACTACAGAGTGTGTTATATTTTAAAATTCCCGCCACATATTTTTCTTTGATTCAAAGAGGGTGTTACTGGTAGATACTGAGTGCGAAGCTACGTCATTGGTGGAAAAGTGATAGACGATCCAACAAACCAATCCCGAAACTAGATTGCGAAGTTGTGTGCGACCGAGACGCCACCTGTCGCTTAAACACGTCGCGTTCATTGAATAACCCGCCCGGACTGTTTTATTGACGCAAGCGCACTGAGGCCCAACAAAGGGCCGAAATAAGAACGGTTCGTAAGTGAATCTGATGTATTTATGTCATAAAAATGGTGAAATCTGTGAAGTGGCGAGTAGAAATTAGGATATTCGACGTGTCGAATCATGACCGAGGCATCTGAAAAGTAAGTAGTGTATCTGTAACTCAGTTTTTGGGATTCGTGCTTCGCCCTGTTCTGGCTAGGTAGGGCTCTACCCCGGCCATTTTCCGTAGCTCATGGAATGTGTAATGTGATTTATGTTGTTTTCTACAGTTCTAAACTCTTATAAGGAATACTATAAGAAATAAAGATTATGTTCTCAAGTTAAAAGTATGTGAAACACATACATATATATAGGGACCGCCGCCCTTAGGTCAAACCTATGTCCTGTGTAGCTAGCTATAATCAATGAGTTGTCGTTCATTCACAATTAAAGTAGGTAGGTAACTCCTTTCGGGGTCATTTGAAGCTACTTCAATTCAAGCTGTATGGCTCAATGAATTGTTATTCTTATTGGAATACGTGAACTGCTGTTTGCGTATATTTCGCGCAAATGTAATCTGTCTGTCTAGAATAATTTTGGAGTGAGTAGTGATAAAAAAAATTAAACAATAGGTTTTTATTATGATAGACATGGTAGCATCTGCATAATTGCTAATTAGCTTATTTATTTCATTGTTCTTGAGACAGGTTTTATTGAACCAACCAAGTTTGTAGGAAATACATGTTGGCTGGAATACTTATGTTTACAAAGAAGCATATTCATGAAGGCCTATTGACGAATGAATGAACAAATTACTTATTACCTTATCAGTTTTATTAAAAATAATTATTGTTTATAACAGTCTTGTGCTGTTTTTATACTTATAGTTTTTCATTCATTCTATAGAACTACATTTAATTAGATTGAAAAGTAATTTTAATATTATTATTTTTAGTTGTTCTATACAAACACACCTGTAATATATACATATATTATTTAAAATAACATTTTCAAGTTAGAAAAAGTACAAAAATATTTTTTACACTTTTTATCTTTATTTTAATTCCTACTATTTGAATTATTTCAAGTCCTCTTTTGAACTCTGAAGAAACTGTTGACTTGCAGTAGGTATTTACTTAAATATTATGAACAAAAAAAAAGTAATTTTTAGTGCAATCAACCATAACTTAGAACAAATTAACTATTAAATTATTGAAATCAGAATAAGCAAAGGAAGGAAAGCATTCAGAGTTGACATTCAGAACATCAGTTTTAAATTTATGGAAATATTATGTTCGTCTACAGAATACCAGATATTTATTTATTTAAAACTTAACTCTTCACATGCCACCCCTCTGATATGCCACTACACTGTAAAGTGCTTTCACCGGTAAACACTACAGTGTAACAGCATATCAGAGGTTAATGCATATGTTGCACAAAGGTGGACTTAATGCCATGAGGCATTCTCTCTCAGTCGACATTCAGGTGATGTAGAAATGTAATGCGGTGGGTGCAAAGTTAAAGTATTAAATTTGTTGTAAATAGTTCATAGTTTGGTAAATGAGAGATGAACCTACATTAGATATAATAATAATAAAAACTTCACACATTTCACACATGGCAGTCTGATCCCAAACTAGGCAAAGCCTGTACTATATTAACCAGACTGCTGATAAACATACATATATATTTTTAAAAACATACATATTACATATACACACATACAGATACACTGCTAACAGATATTAAAATAGAATATTATAAGTATTACTTTGGGTATAGAGGCTTCTTAGTGTTATTCTGATGGGGCTGTTGGTCTAGTGGTTAGTGACGCTGACTGCTAAACCAGAGGTTGTGGGTCCAATTCCCATCCAGAACATATAATTGTGTAATGAGCATGATCATTTGTTCTATGTCTGGGTATAATTAATTTATTATGTGTATGTTTTTAAAAATATATAAGTATGTTTATTAGCAGCCTCATTATGATAGTTCAGGCTTTGCCCAGTTTGGAATCAGATAGCATTGTGTAAGAATTTTAAAGTTATTATTCTGGGTTGTCTAGGAATTGATAACTGTTCAGTCTCTGGTGTTTTACTTTCTCCATCATAAAAGCTTGACTTTGTTTAAATGATAAAAAACAATATCCAATAGAAATGATGTGTATACAAATTTTATGTAATGTCAACTGTTGGTGGTTGTGGGTTTGATTCTCACTCAAGACTATAACTATAACTTTAAGTAAGACCAAGAATTTTGAGGGCTGACTGACTTGTTGTTCTAGCTAGTGGTTAGTGATCCAGCCTGTTAAGCCAGAGGCTGTGGGTTTGAGGACAAATAATTGTGTAATGAGCACCATCATTTGTTCGGTATCTGGGTGTAATTTATCTATGATATATTTAGAAACAAAAGTATGTTTATCAGCAGTCTGGTTGCCATAGTACAGGTTCTGTCTAGTTTAGAATCAGACAGCAGTATGTGAAATGTTTGAGGTTATTATTATTAACTCTCTGTGTCTGCACTTAATAACTATCAACAAAATATTTCATAAACACAACCTTAATTCAAATTATGTGGGCAAACTTATCATGGAAACATACTTACTGTCACAACATCTACTTGTCTCATAATAGGTCATCAGTTCAAACGTGAGACCATTGCCCAGTAGCTACTCCCTTCCGGGTCCTTCCGGACTAGTTTGAGGAAAGTCAACCTTGGCCCTTTCATTATTCGTTGATTTTAAGAAAATCATGAAGTATTTAGTATGCTTTGATTCCTTTAAGGAGTTCTAGAATACGAAAGAATTAGAATCTTATTGAATCAAAGAATGACTATTCATTTCATATTATTTCGTGTACAATAAAACAATGGATAAGCTTTTTTATCATTACTTAAGAGCTAGATCTGACTTAATATAACATCTAAATGAATTATTTAGGCATTCTGAAATACTTGCAAATAAATTATATATACCTAGGTATTGTCATGGGTACAAAAATACACGACATATTAGTAGCTAATTCTAATGGCGATAGGGTAATCTGCCAACTTTGTTTAATTTTTATTTTACTTTTTTCCTGAAAATAGGATACACTTAAAAAAGTTCATCATCATAATATTTATAATATCATCATTTATTATCAAATGTTTAGTACTAATAATGCCGAAAAAGTCTCTTAAATGTTTAGGATCATTATTTACCCAGCTTCTGTAATTGTTGTTTCTAGTTATTTCACAAAATAATTTTCTGCTGGAGTACCCTTACCGCAGGCAGTCAGTTTCTTTTTAATTTGAATATTGAAATAAATATTAGCTATAAAACTAGTTGCCTAGACGAAGTAAATGTTGCAACTTATTTTGTATTTGTTTTTCTTCGGCTTCGGTTCTTTCCCCGTACACATTAGTCATTCGCTTAAGGCCGTGGCAGACAGCTTACAAGAAGCCACGTGGCGTGAGGAGGTCGTTAAGTACTAGTTGATATGGCTTATGTACTATATACAATTTAGTCGCGGCGCGGTCAGCGCTCGTTGTTAGTTCTTTGTAACCGCACACGACGCATCGCCGTCCCGCACCGTCTGCTATCTGCCCCAACTTTTACAATGTCTAATTTGTGCTCGTAAGTAGGATCGGCTCCGCTCTTGGAAGGGCTTTAAGTGAACCTGTGTTTCTGCTAAAACGATGTACTTCTAAATGGTAATTTTTGTTTCCCAGTGCCTATTTGGTGCGCGTGCGAGCCCAGGTTATGTGTCGCGACGAAGGCACGGGCGGATGGGTGGCGCTCGGCGGCGGCGGCCTTGCCGACGTCATGGTTGGTAAACGGGCCCGCTACGTACACACATCCTTGGGTAAGTTGAAAATAATGGCTGAGCCACATACGATCTAGTCGACGCTGGTTAAACTCCTTCCGACGTGAACTCATTTCTTTTTTATACGTGTAAAAACCCCTTCAGGATTGATACAAGATCACTCAAAGAAGAATGTGAACGCCCCAGGAGGTTTGTGGGCTCCTGGAAGAAGCTTGGTTGGCTTACCTAAAAAACTTACCGACGTGCATTACGGACTCTCAAAGGGAAACTGAGGCCCCTAAAAAATAAAAAGGGCTTCATTAGGCCATTCGGAGACCTCCAAAAGGTCGCAAGAGTGCTAACACTTAATCTTTGCGACGTAAAATTTCTGACATGACTATATGAATTATCGTATACAGATATCGTAGACGACGACCGAATGGCGTAGTGGCTCGTGTAACGGACTGCTATTCCAAAGGTCGCGGGTTCGGTTCCCGCTCAAGTCAAACATTTGTATGCATGAACATTTAATGTTTGATTTGGTCTAGGTGTTCCTATGTAAAATATGTATTTATAAAAAAAAAGGAAAAATGTATTTATATCAGTTGTCTAGTACCCCTAGTACAAGCTCTGCTTAGTTTGGGACTAGATGGCGTTGTGTGAATGTGGTACAATATTATTATTATAAACCACTAGTCGGATTCAAAAAGCACTACTAAGAAATCGGTTACAACTTATTATTGAGTGCGTGTGCTTGAGTTTAAATTAAAATCTCACTTTACTAGTTACAGTTTTTACTAAATATATCGAGTCCATTATAATCAAATGATTATTTATAATCAAAATGAAAAATGATATTTATTTCCGCAAATAAATCTTTTCAGATATTTTTAGAAGTCGTTCAGACATTTTTACAAGTCGGTTGGCAAGTATATGTTTTAGGTGTTTTTTTTTTATTTCAACTATTCAATTCAATTATCTAAAAAAACATAAGGACGCTTGAATCTCTCGCGAGAAAATTTCCTAGTGACGAATTTAGGCTTCAAAAACTAATAAAACTTCTTGTAATTTACGGTTTAAATTAGTAAACCTTTTCAAAAATATTAGCGAGAGATTAGGGTATTTAAACAAACACAAACAAAAAAAACTTGAATTTAATAATGTAAAGATTAGACTGCATGAATGGCGTATGAACGGTATATATGGTCATGTCGCCGCTTCCTACTGCGCTGAGTGTTGTGACTGCGATCCCAATATGGGGCAACAATATGTGTGATCCACAAATTGTTTTTCTGAGTCTGTGTCCGCTCCATAAATGTGTGTCAAGTGACGTGACACAGGATATATTCCTCGTGAGGGAGTGGTTTTTTTTTAAAAGTTAAAATAAATTTCTTCGATTGAAATGAACGAACTGCTAGAGATTCATTTTGTAACTCCCAGTTGGAGAGATGAAGGAGCAGGTTCTTAATTTTTTTTAAAGTTTCCTATCTCAGAATTAACGGAATTATGCACCTATTTAGAAAATATTATTTTTTACTTGGGAGGGTATACTTTCCGTGTAATCCCTAAAGTCACCCCTGAAAAGTACCACCCCTGAGTATAATACGATTTTAATTTTAGTAATTTTATCATACGACTATTGACTATACCAAGACCAACGACTATACAATTAGCTAATAATAACATCAATTAACAGGTATATCGTAGCGAGCGCTAATGCACCTGCACCTACGTAAAATTTTATGTTATAAACATGCGGTTTCAACATAATTACCTTGTGACATTGAATGCCCACACTTAGGTGTATATATAGACTGTAAGTCACCATTTATGATATAATAATTATTGTAATATACATTACTAGTTTTTTCCAGCGGCACCGCCCGCTATTTCGTTTATCGCGGTAAAAAGCCTATGACCTTTCTCAACAATCAAAGTATCCCCATGCCAAATTTCACCAAAATCGGTTTAGCCGTGAAAGCGTAACAGACAAAGTTACAGTCGTATTTATAATATTAGTGGGGATTATTAGTTACTCCTTTGCATGGTATACAATCAATCATCTTTATCAGTGCAATGCTCCTGTAGCCCTCTAAAGGTTCGCCATAGCCTCCGCGTCCTACGTTTCGTTTACCGATTCGCGGTCTTTACTCTAGGATACTTTGGCTTAAACGTCCATCGGTCCTCTGGTAGACGGGGCCAGAAAATTTATATTTCAACTTATTGCTACCAGCGTTGCTAAATTACCTATACAATAGACCTACTATTCTATACTAGTAATAGAATATCAAAGAACAAGTTTGTTGTTGTAGAAACATTCTTAGCAAAGTGTCCAGTTAATAAGCTTTATTTTTGAAAAAAACAGCTTGTGTGGAAAAATCCTGTTTTTTAAATACACATGTTGACCTGCTCGCCTATTATCCGTTAGCCATTTGCTGCTGATGATAAGAGATTTACACCCCATGGGGGAAGAAAAGTTATCGATTTTTCAAATGGTAAGTTCATAGAATACCAACTATTATTATAAATATAAATGTCCGAAATACGAAACACATCCACTCATTAACTACTGAACCGGTCATAATGAACAGCCTGCACGTTGCAATAGAGATAAAATTTTTTTTTTTTTTTTAAAAAGACAACGCCCGCATTAGGAATAAATCCTGTGTCGCGGGGGACTTTACAAACATACATGAAACGGACACAAAGAACACCCAGACTCAGAACAACAATTTGTGGATCACACAAAGTGTCGTCCCATGTGGGGTTTGAACCCACAACACTCGGCGTAGTAGGAAGCGGCGTGGCGACCGCTTAAACCACTACGCCATCCGTGCAGTCGATATGTAAACGCCGAGGAAAAGACAAAAAGCGAGACTTGTACTGGTCGCATCTTTCTTCGAGCCTTTTTCCCGAAATAGGTTAGGGTCGGCTTTAAGTCTACTACGATACGGCTGAACTTCGACTGTCATCAAACCTCCACAACCCAGGCGATATCGAAAGTCTGTCGAAAGACTGTTGTTGGACTTTTTAGGCTCCACCTGCCTGAAACGATTGCTACAGATGTCCGTATGGCAACCGGGATCGACGGCTTCACGTGTTCTCTAGGGCACGCAGGGGTCGTTATGGAGGATTGGCTCGAGAGGCGTCACGAGACCCTCTCATACCGATTGACGCAGGTGATCACTGGGAAGGGATGTTTCGGGGATCACCTGTGTCTGATCCGCAAGGAGCCAACGCCTGAGTGCCACCACTGCGATGGCCAGACCGTGGACACGGCTCTCCACACGCTGGCAGAGTGCCCGGCGTGGGTTGAGCAGAGGCGAGACCTCGTGGCGGCCATCGGAGTGGGAGTTCTCTCGCTCGATAGCCTGATTGCGGCTATCGTGCGGAGCGAGAGTGCGTGGAACTCTGCCGTCTCCTTCTGCGAGCAAGTTATGCTCGCGAAAGAGACGGCGGAGCGGGACCGGGAGAGGTTTAGGACTCTCCCGGCCCGCCAGGCCCGGGAACGGGCCAGGTACCGCAGGCGACTCAGGCGCCGGAGGTCGCAGAACGACCTCCGTCCTCCATAAGCGCAGGCCTGGGGGTGACAGGTGAGGCCATCTGTCACCCTAGCAGAAGCAGGCCGGGGTGGCGGCGAGCGCGTTGCGAAGCGCGCTCGCTTCCAGGGAACATGGGGTTCCCACACGGGGGGATGTTGATGTCCCACATGGGGTTCCCACTCGTCTACTCGTCTGTAGATGACCCGAGGTATGTCGGGGTACCAGGGACTTCCTTTCTAGGGTATACCTGGTTCCCCGGCTATTAGTACCCGAGACGGCGTGCGGTTTTAGTCGGTTCGAGTCCGACATGCCACCGACAGGTAGTATCCGAGGGGATTTCCACACGGAAAAAAAAAAAAAAAAAAAAAGGCACGCAGGGGTCTCAATGTGTTAAGAATGGTCACCCATCCATAGACTGACTTGGCTAGGATTCCTTAACTTTGTAATGTGTTAATCTACGCTGTTATCACTTAGCCACGAGCCCCTCCCTTTCAGCAGTTGTATATGATGTGAAATATCTGACTTCTAACTTAACATCCGTTTAATGTCACACAAATCCGACCCCTTACATGAAATCACTTTTTTATGGCATAGGGGGCAAACCAATAGATGGGTCATCTGGGCATCAATTCTGCTATAACATGTTAATGTACTGTCATTCCATTGACACGCTGTTAAGATGCAATTGCCCTCGGGCCAAATATCGGTATTCTATTAACAAATTAAATTCACAGTGTCAATAGACTGTCGATGTAGTCACAATGGCTCATCAATGGCGATAATAACAACATTGCGATGTCTGGAAAAAATAATATATAAATTTAAAATCTACCGTTTACCAAACGTATTACCAAGATATCGACGACATTTGTATCAGTGGCACTTCAGTTACATAGTTAGTAGAATACGAAAAGTGCAAAACTATACCGACGACACTCTATGATACAACATTAAAATAGCAGAATTGAGGCTCAGATAATAAGTAACTCCCGCTGCCTATGGACACTTGCAATTCCCCCTCCACCCCCCTCCTATCTCAGAATCAGAGGTAGGCGTGTTTGGGCCCTTACTCACTCGGTGAAAAGCAACGCAATATCTGCTTAAGAGCTATTTTTTGTGAGGCTGTGGTTTCACTCCGGTCGAACCTGGTCTATTTGAGCTGAAGCCTAGCCTACACAGGTTTAAACATGTATAGTTATTACATAGGTAACATGTTGGTTTAGGAAAAAATCTTGTTTTTTATTTATTCTATTCTCATATCTGTAATAGACACCTGATACGATTTGTTGTATCTTTCCCCAATTAGTGTTGCGACAATTATTGTGAACATTATATTATTGTTTATTTGTTATTTTGTTTTGAAATATGATCATATTCTACTCATAATATATTACGTAATTTGTATCAGTTTTTCTCCGAATGAGGGAGGTATACCAGAATAGATATTTTTTTCATTCCATTTGTAAAGGTCAATCTAGATAGCTAAAATATCTTAAAATAATATCTAACAATAGCTTCTTAACTTCATGTTTAGACAAAACTTCGAAGTTTTAAGAAAGTGTTTATAAACGTATTTCTTTAAGGCTTAAGTCAATTATTTCTTTTGACTATTTATAATATTAGAGGAGTATAAAGACACTGTCACTTTTACGTTTATAAGGAGTCTGGATAAATGAAAGGCCGATCAAGACATAGTAGTCGCAAGTATCGTAACTCGCGTTTAATACGACTGGACCAATGTAATGAAACCCCATCGAAAATCTTTTCGAAAATAAAAAGATGTACCTCCGTTCTATGTTGATTCGGTTCTTCGTTTTATATCTGACAACGCCATCTAGTTTCAAACTAAGCAGAGCTTGTACAATGAAAAACTAGATTGACTGAAATAATACTTAGTATACTTTTTTTATGTAAGTACAAACATATTACACATAGAAAACACCCAAACTCCGAAACAAATATTTGCAGATCATACAAACATTTGGTCCGACCCGGTAATCAAACCCGATAAATCAGCACAGCAGTCGCATATGCTACCACTGTCATTTCTGCGGACCCCCCTAAATCGCCCCCCCTCCTGAGGTATGCGCCCTGTTTCTAGGCACTGATGGCACTCTCTCCTCTAGCTCATTTAGTTCGCTGGCTCCTCTAGTTAACGGGTAGTCGCATATGATGTTTCACATATCACGGAAGATCACATCAAAAATAGCAGTTATAATTAACTAGTTGACCCGCGAGAATTCGTTTGCGTCTCTCAAATGGAATATTTTTTCTCAGTTTTTGAGATACATCGACGCTTAGCTGATATTGGTGGTAGCGTGATGTTAGCTTTTGCACGCGCCTCCGCCCGCGTGTATGTCGGTTTTCGCCTATTTCAAGAATTAAACTTCCCAACTTCCCTTTTAAGAATTATTTCTGGGATAAAAACTATCCTATGTCCTTTACGGGACTCAAATTATCTCTATACCGAATCTAAATTATCTTAATTGGTTAAGCGTGAAGAGCTAACAGACAGACAGACACACAGACACACTTTCGCATTTATAATATTAGTAGTGATAGCCTTCCTCGATAACTGAGCTACCCAACACTAAATTTTTTTATTCGAACCTGTAGTTTGTTTGAATGGAATATACATTATCAGCGAGTAACATAGGCTACTTTTTACCGCTTTAACCGATATACAGGTGGGCAGGGCCGCGGGCAAAAGCTATTACATTATAAATGTAAAAGTGAGTCTGATTGTTTGTTACGCTTTCACTCCTAAAACACTAAACCGGTTATAAAATTCTTTCACCAATGGAAAGCTACATTATCAGCGAGTAACATAGTCTACTTTTTACCTCGATAAGCGAAATACACACGGGGGGAACCGCGGGCACAAGCCAGTAACTAATATAAGCTTGTTTTGCAGGCGGAGACAGCAGTAATGGCGACACTACATCATCGTCTGCGAGTCCACCGTCACACGAATATTTTATACACGGGAAGCGAATCAGCGATAATATGGTAAGTTATATATTTAAATACACTCACACTTGTCATTACGTAGAGATGTAGCTTCGCTGCATTCTTTATCGTATATATCATGGAGAGTGGTCCGAGGAATTGTTCGAACTAATACCGCCGCAACTCTTCCCCATTGTTCCACACGCTAAAACTCCACCTTACTTCACAACGAACTTGTGAAATAAGTTATCGTCTGCGGTGTTTTCGGATCCATACGACCTTCAAACCTTCAAGAAAAGAGCGTACTCCTACCTCAAAGGCTGGCAACTCGCTTGTGACTCCTGAGTTGCGGTGTTCATGGGCGGCGGTGGTCGCTTTCATCAGGTGATCCGTCTGCTCGTTTGCCCCCTCTTCAATAAAAAAAAAACATCCCAAAAGGATAGGCAGAGCACCTGATCTGAAGTTTTCGAAGTGCCTACAAACGCTCCCTGTAAGTAGGTACCGCAAAGACTGAATTAATTTTCTTTTGACGGCTGACGGGCCTGTTAGTACTTAGCGAATCTGACTGCTAAGCCATATGTTACGGGTTTGATTGTCACCCAGGACAAATAATTGTGTGATGTGCTCGATAATCTCATTCTGTGTAATTTGTGTATAATAACTTTATTTAAATATTTATGTATTAATCAGCAATCTAATTAGTACAGGCTTTGTTTGGTTTAGTATCTGAAAGCCTTGTTAGGTGTTTCCGTTTATACCGTGCCTCGGAGACCAATTTAGGCCGAAGGTCCCGGTTGCAATACGAACATCTGGCAGTCGTTACGGGTAGTTACAGCCATAAAGTCCTACAGCCATAAAGTCCTACAGCCATAAAGTCCAACAACAGTCTTTCTACAGAACTTCGATCTCGCCTAGTACTTATGTTGGGGTGTGTGTGTCATAGTAGAGAGTGTGAAAGCCGACACCAATCTAGTTTAGGAAAAAGGCTCGGAGTAAGATTATTATACCAATGGATTGGGAGGTGTAGTAGTAGTAGTCAAAATAAAAAAAAAACTGTGGCACTCCAGGAGTACAGACAGAAGTGAAAACAATTTTTTGTTCTTTTTTCAATTCGAAAAGTACCGACATAAATATATACTCGTATCTGTTGTACGTATATTTACACAATATATGTTTATATTATATATAGTTAAATTATTAATATATTTCAACCCAAACTCAACTCTGGTTTTAACAGGCCAATATATGTAGATACTTATATACAGAGGTGTCGGTAACGGTAACAGTGTCGCGAGTTCAATGGTTTTTTTCCATCTCAAAAAATACATTGTTTTGTTGGTTATTCAAAAATGCCGAACGCGCCTCAAGAAGTTTTTACTGCAATAACAATAATTTGTCATATCTCGCACAAGGCTGTATGATCTCAAACTATGCTGCGCCTGTACTATGACAACCAGACTGTTGATAGACATACATCATCATCAACAGCCTTTAATAGTCCACTGTTGGACATAGGCCTCTCCTTGGAAAGGAGGTTTTGGCATACATACCTACGTTTATTACATTTTTTAGATATAATTATTTGTCCTGAATAAGAACCCACGACCAGCAGTCAGTATTAGCGATCTTGACTGCTAGACTAACAGCCATATCACTTATCACAGTCTGAAAGTGCGTCCCCCCTGACATAATTTCTCCTCAATCTTGCAGGTAGTCCTGGAATGCACGATAAAAAAGGACTTCCAGTACAACAAGGTGATGCCGACGTTCCACCACTGGGTGACAGACGAGAAACGCTTCGGACTCACGTTCCAGACCGCGGCTGACGCCAGGGCTTTCGACAAGGGTGTTAGGACTGCGATCGAGGAGCTTTTAGACGGTAAGCTTGCATTATAATCCCCCTGCCAGCCCTGCTGCTGCTCTTCCATAAAAAAAAGCTACATTAAGTTAAGGAAGTATTCCTTACGAGCGTCACATTTGCTTAAAAACGGAAAACAAATAACTATTTTCACCTATTAATATTCATTATTTCATAAATATTGTAATTTATTGATATAATTTATATTGTTATATTATTATATTAATATTTTTGCAATTTTGTGAAAGCGGCAATTTTCGATTTTCATCAAACAAGAACATTCCCGACTAATTCTTTTTTCAAACAAAAAAAAACAAAATTAAAATCTGTTTCTCCGTACGGGAGCTACGATGCCACAGGCAGACACACACACACACACACACACACACACACACACACACACACACACACACACACACACACAAAAGAAATCCCTGTGACAAGCCAAATCCAAGACAAATCTGTGATATATACTTACCAACGTATAGCATATTATTGTCTTTTATTTATCATAATAATTATAAACCAATAACCTAAACAATTAATATATATTTATTATACATATATTATGCTTATTTTTATATACTTTAAGTTTTATAATAACAAAAGAAAACTATAAATCAGTGTAATGTGGAACTAATTTATCTAATGTGCTTTCTTTTGCCTCTCCTATTCCGTATACTGGATTCTTACACGGTGAGTATTGTTTAAGAAAACACTTATTGGTGTGTAATATCTTTCTTCTCACTTTATTACTATCTGTGGGAGTAATTCAGTGACAAGGGACGGAAATATGTAACAGGGAAGCGCGCCATTTTAAATTTGACCAATGAGCGAACACAGTTCTAGAGTTTTGCGTCAATTGTTAGGTGAGATGTTAAACATCATATAGTTCTATTGTACGGTTTTCTTATTCTTTATTATCGGTTATAACGTAAACCCGTATTTTCAATAGCTATTTTTACTTGGTAACATTATAAGGCACGATCAGGGGTCGATAAGGGGTCGCCTCGCCATTTCCTACTACGCAGAGTATTGTGGTTTTGATCCCCAAATAGGACAATACTGTGTCATCCATAAGTTGTTGTTCTGAGTCCGGGTGTTCATTGTGTCCGTTTCATGTATGTTTGTAAAGCCCTAGAGACACAGGATATATTCCTAATGCGGGAGTTGTCTTTCTATAAAAAGAAAATAAAAATATTAATAACAAATTTTGTAGGCATCTTTACGGGAGTATTTAATTTAACTTTCATGTTTAAAAATAGGCTTTCGTCTATATATTTTGTGTTAAACATTTGTACTAAGAAGGAGATATATCAATAATTAAAATTTTTAATGCCAGGTCTCGGCGGGGTGTGGCCATCACTTCACGCTTACAAAAAATACAACCCAGCGCCTAAAGACGACGACGAGGATCAAAATATCTTCGAGGTAAGTTCTTTTTAATTTTGATGTAGGACATAAATTTAACAGCCTGACCCAACTGGAGGAGAATTGCTAGGTATAGAAAGCAATGAATGATATACTAGGGACTTCCTTTCTAGGGTATACCTGGTTCCCCGGCTATTAGTACCCGAGACGGCGTGCGGTTTTAGTCGGTTCGAGTCCTACATGCCACCGATAGGTGGTACCTGAGGGGATTTACGCACGGAAAAAAAAAGGGGAGGCATATGCCAAGAGGCACACTGAACTAAGAGACAACCTGTAAAATATTACATTACTTCAGAAATAAAATATTCAGGATAAAATACTTATTGATTGATTGAAGTTTTTCTTAATAATGATCATAAGCCATGAACCACCTTCACCTTTTAAAAAGTGCTTATTAACGTAAAAGATATTTGTGTGGGCACGTGTGGGTTGAAATCAATCTGTATTATGGCCACCCACGGACCCGTTCCAACTTATTGGAACACAGATTTTCAACAATAGCGAGAAATGTCACTGCACACAATGAAATACTTATAATATAAAACAGTTTTTAGTTATTTAAAAAGTTTCTGACTTTATTTTTCTATTAAGTATAGAATATTCTAAACAATGTGCTGGCGAATTAGGAATTCGAAGTGTTACCACCCGTATTAATTCCGTGGGTGTCGTAAAAGTCGACTAAAGGACAAATTCTAATGTTTAGTGGACTATTAAACATTGTTGTTGATGATAGAATATTCTATCCAATATAAATGGCATGAATCAAATTTGACTATCATGTTGGTCTAGTGGTAAGCGATGCCGAAAAATACTGATGAGCTTTACATTACTATAGAAATTTAGGAGATCTACATTATGCCACATGGGCTAGTTCCACGAAGGTGTCCACGGCAGGCGGAAGTCATTAACCATCAGATGACTCGTTTCTTGACGACTCTTTGAGTGTACCAACCCCTGCCATAATTAGGGAAAGGAAGAAGTTTCTCCTTTTTTTTTACACTCGATTTACATTTTTTTACAATTTCTCTATTCGCCAAACTGTTCTAACAGTTGGTAGGGGTTCTGCTCAATTTATAATAACCTTAGTGCTTTAATGCTAGTTTTTAAATTCCTACTACAACAACCACTGAACTATGATCATTATTATAAGCATAAATTGAGAAGGACTTCCGTGATGTTGTAACGGTATACTATTCCAGTGCCTGAACCTGCCATCGGAGTCGCACTCGAGCTCAGAGAACTCGACGGCGCGGCGCGCGGGCTCGGAGCACGACATCACGCAGACGCCCATCCTCTCCGTCATCACCCTGCCGAGGCACTGCCCCGACAACGCGCACCCGCTGCAAGGTACTACACACACCTATATTGCTCATTGAATAGTCAGATCGACTGTTGGCGTGGTGACGCGTCGCCATATTATGTTATAGGAAATTTAACTTGCATTCGGTGTGGTGACGCGTCGCCATGCAAAATGATTTCCATGGTTTACAGCCAAAGGACGTCCTGCGCCTGCTATTTTTTTATAATAAAAGAACTTTGTCATTAAAAGACCACGTCGGCTTATATGGATGCCAAATAATACAACGTTGGTCTAGTGGTAATGATCCTGATTGATTAACCAGAAGTTGTGGGTTCGATTCCCACCCAGAACAAACGATTGTGTGATGAGCATGATCTTTTGTTTTGTGTCCGAGTGTCATTTATGTTTAGAAGGCAAAAATACGCGAACTACCCGCAAACTTGCTATGAATTCTATCAATTATAGAGAAACTTATTGAAAAACAAACATAAAAAAGACACATTCTTAGGGACATGAACATAAAAACAAAATATACCAACTGAGCCCAGAATGGTTGATTTTGTACAAAAAACAAAATGTCTGTAAAATAATAATGAAGCAGTATCAAGTACAAAAGATGTAAATAATGTATTACAGACTCTCTGAAGCAGTATGAGGCTCAATACGAAGACAAGCTGGACGACTCGGACCCTGACAGAGGACCCTCTACCACCTATGTCTCCTTGTCCGCTGTAAGTATACTTAACTTATAAGATCATTTTAAGACCTAGTGCAGCATACTTCACAACTCTTTAAGACTTATAGATCACTGTCACAATAAAAACAAAATGTTAATTTACTTGCAGAACTTGGTCTGCGACTCTCAAAAAGAATAAATTTTCCCCTTTCTGCTACATTTTTACTTGGCTCCTATTGGCCGTAACGTAATGTTATATAGCCTTTCCTCGATAAATGGGCTATACAGCATTAAAATAACTTTTAAATTTAACCCAGTTGTTCCTGAGATTAGCGCATTAAACCGAACAAACAAACTCTTCAGCTTTCTCATATTAGTATAGATTATTTCTTAGTTACTTTCACATTTTGCAAACTCTGTTATCTAAATTTCCAATTAAAACTATCAGAAATGTATCCTGACTGAAACTGAAAACTTTTGTTAATATTTGTCAATAATCTAATCCAGGCATACAGAAATTAGTTATTATGAAATCACTGCACATATTTACCAGCAATACCCTTCCCATTCTCATCACTGAATATTACAATTTTATTTATTTTTAAGGTTTCTGAGTTGTTCTGTGTTATAAGGGATGTTTTGTTATTGTTTGCAAGCCACACGGAGGTGCCACAAGCCAGGTTAGAGTGAACCGGGGACTGTTGACTACTTAATCAGTCATTTTCTATCAACAATTGAGCATGATTACAGTTACACGAACCAGAATTCATTCATTTCCAGCATATGCTCCCTCATTTGCTTTTCAGAACTCTTGTATTTGTGTCCGTGTGTAATTTATTTTTAGAATGCAAAAATACGCGAACTACCCTCAAACTTGCTATGTTTCCAAACTTTGTATGTTCTAATACCAGTTTCTCATTGAGATTGTTGATAGCTGAAAATTAAGGTGCTTTTTCATATTCATGGTTCAAGTGACAATTTTTTTAAGTTTTCTGAACCCCGTCTCCATTCAATTTGACAGTTCTTAATAAAACTTTGTGTTTTTCTAATATATCTAATATTAGTTTTGACATATATTTTGAGTTTATTTTACTACATTTAACCATACTACTTCATTTATTCGTGACATCATCACAAGTTAGATCAATGGTCACAAAGGCTTTTGGTTATTAACAGTAAACATATTTGAGGCAGTGATGACTAGCTCATCAAAGAGTCTTTGGTTTAACGCAGTGTGGTGCTAAGTTGAGTCATTTCTAACTGCGATATTTTAGTACTTCACTAGTGCAGCTAGCTCATACTCAGCATTGCACCCAGTGATGAACCCATCCACAATGAGCTGAAGCCTATCCAGGGTAGCAAAGGCTTCAGAACAGTATGTACTGTATGAATCCAGGCTAATTCTAAGTTAACATTTTTTTCAAGCTTAGTAATTACCCCCTCATTATCATCCGTATCCGCAATCAGCTGGTCACACAACTGCTTAGACTCCTTTAGCTTGCTCAACGCCAATTGTAGTTTGGACTCCTCTTGTCGATTAGCCAAAGCTTTGCGTATCATCATAGTTGATTAGATCGAAATGAAATATGAGAAGCAAAGATTGAAAAACTTACAAGATAGGAATTAAAACGAAAAATATAGTCAAGGTGGACACAAAAAGATGTAATAATTTTGAAAGATAGTTGTTTCACTGAACTAGATTAAGGTTATATTTAAGTTTCTGTTGACTATTTATATAAACTTTTAAATGTAGCAAATGTTTGAAACTACTTAAGTTTGACATGAACACGTAAACACTTCTATTACTTAAAATTGTACCTCTGGAATAAAGATGATTCAGTCACAGTAATTATTAAATATAAGTCTTAACACATTTCCAATTTTCGACTATTATCATGTTAAACAATTTACAACCCTATCTAATCTGTGACGGGTCGAAAATTAGGTTATTATATTGTATTTTACCAAATAAAACAATTGAAATCACAAGAACAAAATTTGAATTAGCTGCTGTTTGGGGCTGCCCATCTAAAAATGAAGTTGCCTGGGTTGGCAGTTGAAAAATAACTAATTATTGATAACATTTCAGGTACACGACTACCAGTACCCAGCTCTGACTGGCGTCATCAGCTCTGAGAAGTCCTCCCCTAACACCAAGCCACCACTGCTCAAACGGGACTCTGGTACCTACATAATGTGACTTATTGATTTGCTGCTTTCGTTAGAACCATATAGATAAGAAAAAAACTGTCAAAATTAAATGGATATTCGATTCGAACAATATTAATGAACACATCTGATCCTGAACTTGATTTATAAATGGATTGTATGTTCGTTAGTCCTTAAACACCACCCTGTATGATGTCAGACCATCATAGACCAATATAGACATAACTATATAACTACATTTTTAAATATATGTATTAAATTGCATAACATTTATATTTTGTGCCTGGGACCCTAATTATTTATCAAAATAAAAGAAACCTAAGCCGTACTGCTTATTACATCAGCCATCTGCCACTGAAATTCATAAACAAATAGACACGGCTTGTTGTTACAGTTGCTATTTACCATGAGGGGGAGGTTACTAGATCGCCCCCTCCATCTTTCTGTGGGGTACGAGTCCTCGTTGGTAGCAAGCATTTACCATTTAGCACTTACCATCAGTTGACACGTCTGCTCAATAGCCTTCTATTAAATAAAGGAAAAACATAAAAACTAAAAAAATATTAAACATTTACCACCAAGACTGCCTCGATGGTACAGTGGCAGCGTATGCGACTGCTGTGCTGTCTCGGGTTCGATTCCCAGGTCGAACCAAATGTTTGTAAGATCTGCAAATATTTTTTTCGGAGCTTGGGTGTTTTCTATGTATAATATGTATGTATACAATTATTCTTATCAGTCAATCTAGCTTTTATAGTACAAGCAATGCTTAGTTTGAAATTAGATGGCGTTGTGTATGTCTGAAAATATTATTATTATTTAAATGCATTTTGTAAAAGTTTTTATGGCACTACAAAAACACTTACATTGTAGACTTAGCTTATCATAAAGCCTTTTAAAGATAATATTTGGTTCAGCTTCGTGTTTTTTATTTGAAAAAGGTATAACTAAGGTATATTAATACTTCCAGGTTCAATAAAGAAGTGTGCGTGTGGTGAGCCGCCACCGTTGCCTGACAAAAAGCCCGCCGAGTCGTTTCAAGCCCGAATTAAATGCAGGTGGGTATTTTTTATTCGTCTAAACCCCTCATCAAAAAAAATAATTAAAACACCATAGTTCTCGGACCTCCATAGCCAAATTGCTTCAAAAATCCTAGGTCTAGTTTTTTTCTATTGATACAAAATACTTACCAATTTAAAACCTTTGCCAAAATATAGATAAATATTAGTCAGTCTTTTAACAAGTTGGTACACGTAACACAACTTATACAGTATCTTGACAGTTGCAAATAAGAACTTGTATTACCTAATTAATGGGGGTTAATTTTTGACCTCGTCGACCCCAAAAATCAGTTTTCTATGTCGATCCGTGGATAATCGATTTCGAACCCAAGGCAATCTCTGATCTAGACGATGATCCGAGCTCCTAATGTCGTCTAGAAGGCCTACAACCTCGCTCTTGACAGCGACCTCGCTCGCCTTTGTGATTGGTGGAGTTTATGTGAAATGATCTCACACTCTAGGCCTTCAATTAAAACATACTCGTTAAAATTACAGTTTTATGTTCGTGAAATTATTTGAATCAGAGTTTCTTCAAAATCTCTAAGGAGATAAAAAATTGTGTAATCTACAAAAGTTGCACTGAGTCTGGATGTTCTTTTATTCTGTTGTTTCAATATTAATACAGTTAATTGCGGACAGGAATAGCTCCTAGGAATTATCTTTTTATATCGAACTTGTGTTTCCCTTACAGGCACTGCCACGAGTGGTACCTGGAGAGCGCCAACCGCTCGGGCGCGTGCGAGTTCGCGCCGGACTGCTTCCGCTCCTGCATCGACGCCGTCACCTGCATCAAGTGTGCGCAGGTAACAACCCACCAAACGCTAAACCACCATATATCGTCAAACCTTCATATTATAATGTTACAGGCGGGGTATGCAATAAATAAAAGCAGTCTGTTAATTATTTTTATTGCACTGTATTTACAAACACTCACTATTACAACAAGAAATATATATAACTCGTTTAGTTCGCTAAAAATTCACTTCGATGTTAATTCACGGATTAATTGACTGCACGGATGGCGTAGTGGTTAAAGCGGTCGCCACGCCGCTTCTTACTGCGCCGAGTGTTGTGGGTTCAAATGGGAGGACACTTTGTGTGATCCACAAATTGTTGTTCTGAGTCTGAGTGTTCTTTGTGTATGTTTGTAAAGTCCCCCGCCACACAGGATACGTTCCTAATGCGGGAGATGCCTTTAAAAAAAAAAAAATTCGTTGTGTCGTAAATAATAATCCTCCCGTACGTACACGCTCCAAATTTCGAAAATAAAAAATATTCGATTAGTTGAAGTGAAAAATTCGGGTGTCTACTTATTTTGGTTATTTCTGATAGATACAAAATATTATACAAAAATCTAAAAATTGCATAGATTGATGTTTACTTACAAAACCTTGCTGTCTTATTGGAGCAGTGCGTTTAGTTGGGTCATCCATATTATATATAAACATAATACATTTACTTGCCACTAAAAATGTGAAAAATAAATTATAAAGTACTAAAATAGGTATATTGTTGTTTTTATAAACAAAACTAGCTGACCCGGCAAACGTTGTATTGCAAAACAAAAAAAAATAGGGATGGGTCACCCTTACCATTTAGGGGTATGAAAAATAGATGTTTGCCGATTCTCAGACCTACCCGATGTGAACACAAAATTTCATGAGAATCGGTCAAGCCGTTTCGGAGGAGTACGGGAACGAACATTGTGACACGAGAATTTTATATAAAGATAATAAATTGTGTAAATTATTTTATGATTTCAGTGTATGCTGTACCACTGCATGTCGGATGCGGAGGGAGATTTTGTTATGCACCCGTGCGCATGCGCCGCGCCTGACGAACCTTGCGCCAAACGGTAATTTTATTTAAATTAAATAGGTTGGACATGACGGCCATACCACCAGTTGTTTTTAATGACATAATCATACCTCTGAGCCCAGTGGTTAAGAACCTAGGGCTACATATTGATTCGACACTTGACTGGAGAGCACAAGTCACCCACGTCAGCCAGCAAGTTACTACATGTCTTCGCGCCTTATATCGTCTCAAGAATTTTCTGCCCACTAAAACCAAGGCTACGCTTATGCAGTCCCTTATTACTCCCTTAATCGATTATGGTGATGTGTGTTATCTTGACCTGAATGCAGACCTCCTCAATAAACTAGACCGACTTCTTAATAACTGCATTCGATTTGTTTTTAATCTTCGCAAGTATGACCATGTGTCTGCTTTACGTTCCCAACTGAAATGGCTCCCGATTCGTCAACGCCGCAGTCTGCGCGCACTAACATATCTTTTTTCTTTTCTTAATTCCCCATCGGTACCTGAGTACCTGGTTCCCCATCTCCGCCTCCTTTGCTTCAGTCACGACCGAAATCTTCGATCAACAAATAATATGCTTCTTCTTTGCCCCCCTCACACTTCCAACTTCATCAATTCTTCCTTCTATGTACAGTCAGTTCTTCTCTGGAATGCGCTCCCAGTTGAAATTAGGATGTCCACTAACCGGTTTACGTTCAAGAAGAAAGTACAAGAACTTCTACAAAATAAGTTGGCAGAAAGGTCACATCGCTAGTACCCGACTATGTGTTTTTATATTTATGTATTTATAAATGTGTATATTCACCTATTGTATGTGTATACTTGAGACCTCTAGGTATATATGTAGTTATGAATATAGTATTTTATTTATAGTATTTATAGTGGTAGTGTATATATGTAAGTTAGATTTATTCAACATTAATAATATAAACATGTCAAATTCTCTGTTTTCTCTTGCACCTACAGCTTCATTTTTCTACATCACCCGAAGGTCGACTGGCAGAGAATGCCTTGGGCATTAAGTCCGCCTTTGTACAACTAGTGCATTAAGTTAAATAAATAAATAAAATAAATAAATAAATAAAATAAATAAATAAATAATTTTATCGTGGATATAATTATGCATATGCATACACACATTAAAATCCAAATAAGATCGAATCGTCCAACGTCATCAGTGATCGCTATATATGGATTTATTTTTAATTTTGTTAGTAATACGTCCACTCCATTATCGTTAGACACTGCCGGATACGGTGGCAGTGGATATAGTGTCGGTCGCTGTATGTGTGGTGTGCCCTCAGGTGGGTGGGCATCACGCTGCTGAGCCTGCTGGTGCCGTGCCTGTGGTGCTACCTCCCGCTGCGCTGCGCCCACCGCGCCGCCCGCGCCGCGCGCCTCGCCGGCGGACACCACGCGCCGCACCAGCCCCACCAGCCCCAACACCAGCCCCACCAGCCCCGCGCCACCTACGCGCAGCCCGCGCGCAAGTAGTGCGCGCAGCCTCAGCGGGAGCTCTGTCCCGCTGAGCACCTGCTCTAACGCGCCCCTCCACGCTCCGGCCGGGGCGAGTCCGCGGGGAAACCCGCCGACGTCTGAAGCGGATCGACTCGTGAGCCATGCGGCCGCCGGGTATCGATCGCCGAGTCGTTTGTGAGGTGAAGTAAACGTATGGAACGCTGAGTCGTGAAAATATATTCGAGTGTGAGCGAGCGACTCTGAGAAAAAAAAACATCTCCGTAAATATCAAAAGTACCGGTGAGGAGGAACGGTATAAGAACATATGAAAAAAAAACGGATGTGACCGCCGAGTACGAGGACTCGTGATACGAGTACGCCGAGAAGCCGGCACAAAAATTATCATGATATAAATGCATCAGATTAAATTAATTTAGAAGGGAACTACGATGAAATACTGGCAGACGATTAAAACTTGAAACGCTCGAAACTAAGCGTTAATTAGAATTCGAGAAACGCGACTGCCGGTGATTCAGAGTTTCTACAGAAACGCACTCTCAGTGATAAAATCAAATCTTATATTATAAGATTTGTAATGCCGTATTGGCTTCACTATCGAAACAGCGTTTAAGATATAAGTGTTTATTTAACCAGGTGACGTAGCCGAACGAACATACAGTGTTTATTTTCCTATAGGTATAACGAAATATTTTGAGATCTGACACCCGCGCACACTAACTATAAATTACTAAATTATTATTCTTTAGGGATATGTGAAAAACGGATCGAACATGGCAGACTAATGTGATGGATAACGGTGTTGCTAGACTTATTAATGCTGCGACACTGAAGGAACGTAGCGATATTGGTGTGGTTATCACAAAAACTAAGTGACGATTTTTTTTTTGCTTTTTGTGCCCAGTGTTGGAATTAAATAGTGTTGCTACGTGAAGTGTTGCCACTATGAAAAATTATTCGGTGTTTTAGCGATTGTTTGGGTTCGATTTGGCCATGGTCCGGATTGGATAGTGCTGGGCCACATTTTAGCTTTTTCATTTTAATTTCTAAGTGCCCGGCACTAACATTTTTATATTGTGCCATAATGGACTAATGTTCATAAGTTTTTAATATATGTATGTTATTTTTCACGATTTCTGTCTGTCTTCCAATTTGTTTTAATAAAAAAATATTAAGTGGCTAAATTGTAGAAGTTGAAATGAGTTAATTATTTAAAAGTATTGGCTATTTCTATTCATTAAAGGTATATTATAATATACTAAATGTTAACATATCTCATCATTGTTATATATTTAACATTTTAAAGCTTCTTTACTTATCTAGCCTAAGTTTAAATAAAAGGTAGAAAGCTACAATTTGCTTCTGTTGAAATATAGTACATTTAAATTTGAATATTTAATTTTATTAATGTATTTGAATAATTTTAAAAATTATTTAAATTTAGGCTAGATTTTTTAAATATTTGTACGATAGATTATGCATTCATTTACAATTAGAATAATTTGAGAATACGGGTAGTATTGTTACCTAGACAGCAGCTTTTCTTTTTGAAGTACACATTTTCAATTATTATTAATTACTATAAGTAAATGTATTATAAATTTTACTATCGTAATGTCACATGAAATGACATCGTATTTATTATTAGTGTTAAATTATAGTTGACATTAATCCGTTGAAATTATAATATAATATTATCAATGTTTCATATAATGTCGTTTACTATAGTTTCTAAGTAAGAGTAAAGTTTTTACAAATTCACATACACATTCATATACTTTCACGATAAAAAAACTAATGTTGTCTAGTCTATAGATCAGTATTTTTATTTTTCAAAAAAAAAATCATTCACCTAAAAACATTTCAGTTGAAAGTTCGAAAAAATAAAATGACCAAAATGTTTTGTATATTTATAAATAAGAAACTATATGGGAGAAATTTTCAGGCGACCTGTTTCGAGGTACCGTACGCAATATTTTGATCATAACACGAACAAACGCAATAGACAATTAATATGGTATAATATAAAATCTCTTTAATTTTTGTAGGAATGGGCTCACTTGTAAAAGTTAAACAGATTTTATATTCGGCTTTGTGTCCACGATGTTATCGCGGCCGCGCAAGTCACAGGATCGAAGTGACACAAAATTGAAATAGAAGAATAATAGGGTAATGAGTGCTAGGTAGTGCTTTACCTCGTTACAGCCGCGTCTGGAACTTCTTCGAAAAAATTGTTACTCCGGATAAACATTTTAATATTGTATCAAAATAAGTAAATGTATTCAATGTTTAATTATAAAAATAATGTTATATTTTAACTGTTTTTTAACGTAAAACTGATGTGACGGCTGGTTCTTGAGCCAACTGTCTATTAGAGTACGAAGAGACTTTTAATTAAATATTTACTGTAGTAAATTTTAAGAATTACGTATGTGTTTAGCTGTATTAAGATCATAATTGGAAAATTTGATTAAAACCAAAGTTATGTGTAAAAGAAGGTTTGTGCGAATGCGCAGCCTGATATGGTTGTTTAAAATGAAGATAAATGTATTAAAAAATATGAAATAAATAATCGTAAATAATTTGTATTGTTTCATTTAGAAAATTGATATTCTAAAGCAAGCGAGGCAGGTCTGAGGTAATAAAAAATAATACTATTTTAATATGCATTTATTTCGTTTAAAGTGAAAATTATAGTCATTATCAAAAATAGTATTTTCATTTACTTATTTACATTTCATTTTTTTATATTATTAAATATAAGGAACGTTATGAAAAACCTACAATATTATGAAAATTAGACTAAGCATGTCTCTTAATCATTTATACATAGCAAGTTTTGTTAAATTTTAATTTATTATTCACAAATTCTTAAATAAATTTAACTAATAATAATTGTATATTTAGCTTCACCGAAATATATTATAGAGAACTTATTTTCTTAACAGAATGAGAGAAATTTACAATTACCCCTAAAAAAATATACAAATGTAACCTAAAAAAAATAATTGAATGATGAAGGAGTGGCTTTAGTGACAGCTTAGTTGTTGTGAGATGCACCGAGTTAAAAAACATTTTTATTATGTTAATGTTATTATTAAAAAAATTAGAATTTTGTCAAAGGCCTCGTCATTAATCTATTTATTATGAACACTTGTTTGAGGAACTTTATAAGTATTGCTGGAGTGATTGCATTTTATATAGGTAGTTTAAGCAATTTATAAGGTTTCGCGTCTAATCTACATTAATAATATTAATATTATGAAGAGGTAAACTTTGTGAGTTTGTATGTTCGGAGTAGGAATGGGACAAAATCACAGTGAACTGTGAAAGACCGGAGATTTATCAAACGATTTTTTCGTGCGTAGGTTAGGGTTACTATTGACTCACGCGTTGTTGCCAATAAGCTGTTTTCCGACGATGAATAGACTCTATTTCGCCTATTTAACACTAAATCTAGTAATTATTTTAATATATATAGCTACCATACGTTACATAATAATTAAGAAAATTCTAGATTTATTGTTAAATAGCATTGAGTTAAAACAACACTAGAGAAGCAAACCTCATTATCACACGCCGAAAAAAGTGTAACCACTTTTGAACTTTGACGACGTAGCTTTGATACCACTAAACATTTGAAAGTAAACATATTTATGTCTCATTTACACGCGAGACAAGAACAATAGCATCGCTCGGATTAGACAAAGACAAAGATATAACTTTACGATGGTGGGCCAGTGTTGACTACCGTATGAAATTTTACCCATAACAACTAAGAAACAATTTTTTTTTAAAACAATTTTGTAATAAAATAAATTAATTTAAAATTCTAAATAATATATTTCGAATTGAATAGAATAGGTATAAATAATAAAATAACTGGAAATATTTGGTTAAAAGGGTTTATATTCAGTGTAAAATCAAACTGCGCTGTGAAGCATCAGTTTTGTATACAATTGTCTTTTAGACTCTTTTTATAAGTTTGTGTGGATATTTTACTTTCATGACACAATCTTATTTTTACGTATGTAAAAATAATAGCATTTAATAATAAAAGTGAATGATCAACTTGTACTGATAATAAATAATCCCCAGGGTGTATTGCAAATTCTATTATAATTTAAAAAACAAATAAAAAAAAAAAAAAAATATTTTTATTTTATAAAAAAAAATATTTGTTTATTTACTTTTTTATTTTATATTTTTATTTTTATGATAAACATTTATTATTATTATTATTATTTTGTACAATTATTATTTAAAATTGATAATAAATTAAGAAAAACAATGAATTAATTTTTTTGTACAAAAGTCTCCAGCACTGCGAGCTTGGCACTTCTGCCAAGCTCGCAGTGAACGTTCAACGGGTCCCTAAAAAAAGGGATCGGTCCAGCCCTAACAACTACCGTTCTTCCTATATTTTATTATTATTGGCAAAATGTTTAAAAACAGTATAAAGCATATTATTTCATAAATTATAAATTCTCCCACTAATGTGGGAAAACCAAAATGATTTTTTAATGGTAACACTGATTCTAGATTACAATTATCAGTGTTTTATTTCAATTATAGCCTTATTTACGATATTATCAATACAAAAACCATAAACTTACACGTGAAAAGTAATTCCGCATGATTTATTAATGTTTTGTGACCTTGAATCGCATTCTTTCACTACGCATTTAGCCATTTTGGGGATTGTTACTGTCATGTGTCGCTATGTTCAACTCGGTTGACGCCACATTGAATAATGAATTGACGTTTGCTACGCATATGCCTGTGGACATATGTGCAGTAGCAACGATTTTAGGCGGTAATTACTCATCTATGTAAGTATTATATCAATGCATTATCACACGTCGAAAAAAGTGTAACCACTTTTGAACTTTGACGACGTAGCTTTGATACCACTAAACATTTGACAGTAAACATATTTATGTCTCATTTACACGCGAGACAAGAACAATACCATCGCTTGGATTAGACAAAGACAAAGACATAACTTTACGATGGTGGGCCAGTGTTGACTACCGTATGAAATTTTACCCATAACAACCAAGAAACAATTTCTTTTTAAAACAATTTTGTAATAAAATAAATTAATTTAAATATTTTAAATAATATATTTCGAATTGAATGAAATAGGTATAAAATAACTAGAAATATTTGTTTAAAAGGGTTTATATTCAGTGTTAAATCGAACTCCGCTATGAAGCATCCGTTTTGTATACAATTGTCTTTTAGACTCTTTTTATAAGTTTGTGTGAATATTTTACTTTCATGATACAATCTTATTTTTACCTATGTATAAATAATGGCATTTAATAGTAAAAGTGAATGATCAACTTGTACTGATAATAAATAATCCCCAGGGTGTATTGCAAATTCTTTTAATATTTTAAAATACAAATAAAAAAAATATATATATATATATTTTTTTTGCTTTTTATATTTTTTTATTTATATTTATTTACTTTTTTATTTTATATATATATATATATTTGTTTTTGTACAATTGTTATTTATATTTGATAATTAATTAAGAAAAATGAATGAATGAATTAATTAATTCTTTTATACAAAAGTCTCCAGCACTGCGAGCTTGGCAGAAGGTGAACGTTCAACGGGTCTCTAAAAAAGTGATCGATTCAGCCCTAACAACTACCGTTCTTCCTATATTTTATTATTATTGACAAAATGTTTATAAACAGTATAAAGCATTTTATTTCATAAATTATAAATTCTCCCACTAATGTGGGAAAACAAAAATGATTTTTTAATGGTAACACTGATTCTAAATTACAATTATCAATGTTTTATTTCAATTATAGCCTTATTTACGATATTATCAATACAAAAACCATAAACTTACACGTGAAAAGTAATTCCGCATGATTTATTAATGTTTTGTGACCTTGAATCGCATTCTTTCACTACGCATTTACCCATTTTGGCGATTGTTACTGTCATGTGTCGCTATGTTCAACTCGGTTGACGCCACATTGAACACTGAATTGACGTTTGCTACGCATATGCCTGTGGACAGATGTGCAGTAGCAACGATTTTAGGCGGTAATTACTCATCTATGTAAGTATTATATCAATGTTAAATAGCGTCCAACCTACCTACCTAGCAACCCTAACCTACGTACGCAAAAATCGAATTATCAATCACAGTTCACTGTGATTTAGTACCATGTCTAGTTCGGGGTAATATCCGGTTCTACTGATCCCATTCTGAAAATACTTTCACTGTTAAAAAGGTGCTATCCCTGAGTGCCATAGTTTACTTTTTACCGCTATAACTGACATACACGGCCGAGCCGCGGGCAAAACACAGTAAAGAATATATATAAATATAAAATTGGAAGACAAGTGACATTAGATGATTTATTCTTGTTCCTTTTTTATATATTATCGTTTTTAAATTTATTTTGAATAGCGTTCCATGAAAAAATAGTTTCTCCTTTCATTGTTGCTCCACCCTTATGTGGTAGTTTTTGAGATCTACGCGAAAAAGATATAAAACAGTTACTTTATATTTTTATTCTTACATACAGATATATCCTAATATTTGTACCTACAAATGTCTGTAATATAATAAATTATCATATTGTAGACATTAGCATGGCATATTTTTCATTTTATAACTTGTTTCTGTATTTTATATACATATAATCCAACATACGTAAATATCCGATATCATAAAGAATACGCAGCAGGAATTCTTCAATCATTGTTGGCGATTTTGGACTTAACGTAAACGTCATCTGTTTCATTAGATGTTCACTTTTCTGTACTAAATACGATAATAAAATTACCATAAAACTATGTAATTAAAACAAAATCAACTAAAATGAAGTGTCAAACATAAGAGCAAGATGGCGACTGAAATTCGCGTTTCCCGCGCTCCGTTCGACTCTACATTGAATCGTCCGAAAATTTGAGCTTGAGACATATTGTGTGGTTCCGTTTCAGTTTCCTCTAGTATTGGTGTTATGTCAGAGTAATCGATCGTTGACGGTTTTGTACGACCGGCTGAAATAAAAAAACGAAGAATATTTAATATACAACTTTAATTTGTGTATTGCGGAGCAGCCAGGCCACAGACGTATCAATTAAATGTTATTTTCTTGTTCTTGCCTCACTTTTAAATAAAAATAAAAATTGAAATGTACATTTGAGTGGCTCATTGCCATCGAAAAATGATAATTTTCTTTATCTAGATTTAATCAAGATCAAGTAATTTTTTTTTGCCTGATGAAAATACACGAATTAAATTTTGGCACGGATTTGATGTCACACAGACTACAGATGCTACTATAAAAATACCTACCTCCTGGTTCAGTGGCAAAATGCAAAATTGAAGAAGGTTTACTCCACCCGAACCTGAAAGAAAATCTATCGTCAGCTACAATCTTATGGACCACTTAGATAAAACGATTTCGACTATTCTTATGAAATAATATTTATGGTGGCCTGTCTATCATTTTATTAAAGCACCTATCAATTAAAAATTTTATTTTCATCGTTATCAAACTTTGTATAAACAACATGGAAATTTTATAAGAAATCAGTATAATGTACAGGGATATTAAAAAAAAGTCGGGACGGCTGACAGAAGTCACTAAGTGGACTCATCTAAGTTGAACTATTTAAGCTTAGGTTATTACTTTTTCATGTTAAGCGTCTGTCCGAAATACGGCTAGCGCTGTGAGTTTGAGTGAGAGAGGAGGAGCCTGCCTACCGCTGCCGTATGCGTGAGAGAAAGGGAAGCCAGACAGACTGGCGCTGTAACGCGTTACGTAACTTCAATATGTTTTGAATAAAATTAAAGAATAGAAAAGTGAATTTCCTACGAGTATGTTCAGAAGTCAATTATATTATTAATAGCACAATGATTTAAAATAATAATAATGGATTTATTTGCATAAAATGTGGTACAAAAGATGATAATTAGGTAACACGGAGTACAGATTCCATCCATGACAGGACATCCATGAGGATCTTCCACCCCGTTAACAAAAAAAAATGTATATTATATACAATAAAAAAAGTTTGAAAATTATAAATTATTTTCAATATGTCTAACATGTATATACCTGTTTCTAGACGTCACGATGGCCTCATAGACAGTCGATGGTGTCAGACCCCTCACTGTATAAATCGCGCTATGGATAGGTCCTGAAAATTATTTTAAAGCATTCAGCTTCTTGAAATCGCACAGTTGTCAAAAACTACAATCATATTATGTAATGTTGCCATAATTCTTTCTTTAGTAATAAAATAATATATACCATCACTAGAGTCGCCAGGCACAACGATTTTTCGCCAGAGATTAGCCGGAGCTTCTGTGGTGAAGGCGTCTGGCTCCAGTGTCGAAAGACGTCCGTAGTATGGACGAAGCCACAGATTATATTCTGAAACATTCATATTGACAGTTACAATACATAAATGCCGAAATGAAATGATATTTATTTCTGTAAGTAAATTTTTACAAGTCGGACTTTACAGCTAGATGGAGTCGGCATTTTCTAAGACTCACTGTGGGAAGAAACGCCGAAACAAACCACACAGATGTCTTTTTCTTTTTTTAGTCAATTTAGGCCCAATTTATGACCATGTCTTCAACCACAGGCAGGAAACTACCACAGCCTCACGGAAAACCGGTGTTAAGTAATTTTTGCGGTGCTTTTCACCTTGAAGCCGTGACAGGTCCAAATATATAGGTACCTACTTGATGTACCAGGGCTTTCCTTTCCAAGGTAAACCTGGTTCTCCGGCTAATGGTACCTGGAGACGGCGTGCGGTTTTTGGTCGGTTCGACTCTGACATAATCACTCCACCACCACAGTGGGTGGTATCCGAGGGGAGTTCCGCACGGAAAAAAAGTACCTACTTGATTGACTCCTTTTTTTTTTTTTTTTCCGTGCGGTAATCCCCTCGGATACCACCTGTCGGTGACATGTCGGACACGAACCGAAACCTAAAACCGCACGCCGTCGCCGGGTACTAATAGCCGGGGAACCAGGTATACCCTAGAAAGGAAGTCCCTGGTGCCCCGACATACCTCGGGTCATCTACAGACGAGTAGACGACCCCCCCCCCCCGTGTGGGAACCCCATGTTCCCTGTGCTCCCTGGAAGTGAGCGCGCTTCGCAACGCGCTCGCCGCCACCCCGGCCTGCTTCTGCTAGGGTGACAGATGGCCTCACCTGTCACCCACAGGCCTGCGCTTATGGAGGACGGAGGTCGTTCTGCGACCTCCGGCGCCTGAGTCGCCTGCGCTGCCTGGCCCGGGAGAGTTCTAAACCTCTCCCGGTCCCGCTCCGCCGTCTCCTTCGCGAGCATAACTTGCTCGCAGAAGGAGACGGCAGAGTTCCACGCACTCTCGCTCCACACGATAGCCGCAATCAGGCTATCGAGCGAGAGAACTCCCACTCCGATGGCCGCCACGAAGTCTCGCCTCTGCTCAACCCACGCCAGGCACTCTGCCAGCGTGTGGAGAGCCGTGTCCACGGTCTGGCCATCGCAGTGGTGGCACTCAGGCGTTGGCTCCTTGCGGATCAGACACAGGTGATCGCCGAAACATCCCTTCCCAGTGAACTTGATTGACTCCTAGATTTTATTCATAATTTTTAACTTTATAGCAGATATTGTTTTAATATTGCTTTGTGAACTTCCTCTACATATAAACATTCATTATTCCAAGTATATTATGTAGGTTTATCTGTGCGGCAAATCTATACTAATATTATAAAGCTGAAAAGTTTGTTTGTTTGTTTGTTTGAACGCGCTAATCTCAGGAACTACTGGTCCGATTTGAAAAATTGTTTCAGTGTTAGATAGCCCATTTATCGAAGAAGGCTATAGGCTATATATAATCACGCTAAGACCAATAGGAGCGGAGCACCAATGAAGAATGCTTGTCAGCTAGTTTGTTTATAAAAAGGGTTAAGTACAAAGAATTTTCTATAAGTATTAATTTATTTTTTCAAGTGTCTACTCTATCCCTAGAAAATTGGACAGAAAATTAATACGACTTATATGTTCAGCAAAAACCTTACCTATAATAGTGGAATAAGAATCGACTTCCCATATCAGGGTGAAGCCGGTCGAAGTCGGCTTGTTAAGTGCCGCGTCGACTTTGAACGAAGCCACGTTTGGAACTCCTGAAATAAGTTTTATTTCTTATACATTTGTAAAGTCGATACTTAGGTTATCAAACACTTCTAAGAAAAACAAGAACACCAATACACCATGTGGTGTCTGTATATTGACACTGACAATTGGTGTAAAGAATGGTGTAAAGAAGTGGCACTGACACCACATTGTGTAAAGGTGTGACATTGACATTGGTCAATGTCACAATTTTTAGTTTAATACTTTGGAATCACCTTATCTCGTATGCCCAACAACTTACCAGTAAGCTTGAAAGTTAAGTCGGCCATCCCTAATTTATTTTCAGCTCTGAAAGTGTAATTTCCAAGATCGGACTTCCTCACTGTTCGGAAGATCAGATGATGTACGTTGTCTCGTACCATTTGTACGATCCTGCAGAGGCAAAACACCTTTAAGAATACAATGTTTGACCTGTTAGCCGTGGCAGAGCCCTCCCCTCCTAGGGGGAGGAACATTATAAAAAGAAATTCAAGTAGGCCAAATATTAAAACCAGATTATATATCTATGCCTGAGGAAAAAATATGTTAGGTATTAGTCTTCAAGGATTTTTTTTTTCTTAATAAAATTAAAGGATTTGACAATAGCGAGTTATGACGTCATTAACCTATATTTCAAAGAAATTATCGTTTGGGCGCTCTACAAAGAGAATCCAGTTCGAATGGATTTGTTTTATTAAAGTATTGAAGCAGCTTGCTAAGGATCAGTATTGAAATTTGACACCCCGATGAACCATAGCTGTAAGTCAATTCCAGTGGGTATCTACCAAACAAAAAAAAAGTTCCTTAGTTCCCTAAACACTGTTCTCTTTCGGCTACTAAACCAGAATGTAGTTTGTTTATAAATGGATCTCTACTGTATCTCTGAGGCACCGTAAGACGAGATTATGAATATTCTTCTTTGTCTTTTATTTTAAACAGTGTGTTATTGTCGGACATGTTGGTTTAGTGTTGGTAATGAACTGAGCTGAGCAATAATCAGACTCACGATCTTTATTTTTATATATTTTGTAAAGAGATAATTCCTGTACTAGGAATATATTCTGGTTCGTAGGGTACTTTACAAACATTTATAAAACAAACACAAAGAATACTCAGAATTAGAACAACAATTTGAGGATTATACGAGGGGTGATCAATAAGTAATGATAATCAATATGAAACAGAACTATTAGATTAAAAAAAGTATTTTATTTTTCAACATAGTCTCCTTGCAAGTTAATACATTTAGTGTATCTTTTTTCTAAGCCCATGATTCCCTTAGAAAAAAATTCTTTGTCTTGACCCTCCCAAAATGCCTCTACTGCGGCCATCACTTCCCTATTGTCCTCAAATTTGTTGCCCCGGAGGTGTTCTTTGAGCCGAGGAAAGAGGTAGAAGTCACTGGGAGCTAGATCTGGCGAATAGGGAGGGTGTTCGAGCAGTTCGAACCCCGTTTCTTCAATGGCAGCCATCGCAACTGCGGCTTTGTGAGCCGGGGCGTTGTCTTGGTGAAACAGCACTCCAGCGCGCAGTTTACCGCGTCTTTTTGACTTAATAGCTTCTCGCAATCTTCTTATTTGGCCTGCGTAGTAAGAGCCTGTTATAGTGGCCCCCTTTTCCAAATATTCCACCATAATAATTCCTTCTGCATCCCAGAAAACAGACGCCATAACCTTTCCCGCTGAACTTGACACTTTGAATTTCTTCGGCGTTGGTGAGGAAGCTCGTTTCCAAGTCATTGATTGTTGTTTGGTTTCGGGATCAAAGTGGTGGATCCAGGTCTCGTCCATGGTCACAAAACGCGACAAAAAAAATTCTTTATCGGCCTGGAACTTTTGAAGATTCACCCTCGAAATGTCGACTCGTTTCTTTTTTTGCTCGTCGGTTAACATTCTCGGTACCCAACGCGCAGAGACCTTTTTCATATGCATTTTGTTGACAATGATTTTTTGAACGCTGCCATAGGAGATCCCTGTGACCTCAGCTACATGCCTTACGGTCACCCTTCGATCGGCCAACACGATATCTTCCACTTTTTTGACGTTTTCTCCAGTAAGGGACGTGGAAGGGCGTCCCTCGCGATGTTCATCTTCAGTGGAGGTTCTGCCCAGCTTAAATTCCTTTGCCCAGCGTGCGACTGTGGAATATGGAGGAGCAGACTTCCCCAATGTTTCCCCTAAGTCGCTGTGTATGTCTTTGGTAGACATTTTTTTCAGGCAGAGGTACTTGATGACAGCTCTTATTTCATTTTTCTCCATTTTGATGTTTTCTCTTCGACAGTTCGTATTCAAATGAATGTATCTCCCGGTAATGGTGTCCTATTTATACATTTTTTTGAAGCTGAAGTAGTGGATATATAAGCAAGCAGAAAAATAATAATTTGGGTTTTTGTGCGTTCTAGAAATACTCGATTATCATTACTTATTGATCACCCCTCGTACATGTCCCATGTGGGGATCAGACCCATGATATTCAGGAGAAACGAGATCGTTTAAACCATTAATGTCACCTGTGAAACCCTTTAAAATTAATATTTGTCACTTTAAGTCGTACGTAAGTAATATTATTTAGTGTGTGTCCATTATCTGTGTGTTTTTCGTGCGGTGACAGATTAAGAACACGGAGTGTCAAAGAATAAGGGAGCAAATTACGCAGAACAGCGAGAGAAGGAAAATTTGAAACACACCCTATACCGAGCCGTTTGGCCAGCGCGGTGCAGTAGGGCAAGGAGGGGCTCTATGGGCGTACCTGTCGTCGGTGTGCACGGGCCTCCCGTCCCGGTACCAGTGCGTCCTGGCGGGCGGCGCGGCGAAGTCCACGCGCGCCGCCAGCGCCGCGCGCAGCCCCAGCGCCGTGTGCACCGCGCTGCGCTCCGCGGACACCACGGGAGCGTCTACGGGGGGGGGGGGAGCTTTAGTACCACCACAACACACACAATTATTTTTTTTATTATTTTCTGCCATCTTACACACAACGGCATATAGTTTAAAACTGAACAAAGCTTGTACTACGAAAGCTAGATTCACTGATGGAATATACTTGGATACTACTTTTTTTGGTAAATACATATTATATTATACATAGAAAACACCCAAGCTATAAATATTTACAGATCATGAAAACGAGCAGTCGCATATCTTGCCACTGCACCACCGAGGCCCTGGTGCAAAAAAAAACCAAGGGCCCTACTCTCATTTTCTCAATTTTGAATGGAATCCAAACGGTACTTTTTATATTATAAAATGAAATTTAAACTGCGATTTCTCATAAACATCAATGTTAAATGCAAAAAAAAAATGAATATTTTTTGACTGGTTCTCTGTATTATTATTTACAAAATATGCCATATTAAAAAAAACAGTAAATTTCTGTAGCAGTACTACCTTAAAGTCGTGTTACAACTTACTTTATTTACGTTCCAAAGGTTTGAGAATTTTTAGCTAATTCAATACGAAGTTTACTAGTCAGGCTCCGAGGCCCCCCTAAGCTTGAGGGCCCCAGTGCACAGCACCGTCTATCGCTTCGGTAGCTACGCCACTGACCCTGACTACTATACCAGAAGTCGTTGGTTCGATTCCCACCCATAGCAAATAATTGTATGATGAGCACGATGATTCGCTCTGTCTGTCTGGATATAATTAATCCATAATTAATATGTATATAGACATTTATAAGTATGTTTATCAACAGTCTGGTTACCATAAAACAGGCTCTGCCTAATTTGGAATTAGACGACCGCGTGTGAGATGTATGGAAGAATAAATATAGATATTTTTTTACACAAAAAACTCTTAAAACAACTGAAACTGACTTCTAAAAAACTTAAAAGCACGTGGAAGAGAGCTTTAGCAAAAATAAGGAGCGACACTCTCACTCACACCACACACACACACACACACACACACACACACACACACACACACACACACACACACACAAACATATAACCATACAGAAACATATCTAATTACCTACTTAACTAAATTGTATTTACTATTGTAACTATTTGTTCACCTTGTGTTTGAGAAAGAACTGACTCCCTACACACAGCTCGCGCTAGTTTGGGAATCAGGGCTGTACAATGTTTGTAATCCACTTATTGTTACAATAAAGATTATTATTATTATTATTATACCCTCACAGACCCCGGTATACAACAATTCTTTCGTTGTCTCACGCATTAGTGTCTCTTGACTTGTAGGAGTCCATGAGCGGAGATAGTTGTTTACCATCACATCACTCGTCTGCTCGACTACCTCCTTATACCATTAAAATACAATCGAGTTACATTCCCCACTCCACCGACTCTATATATCGACTCGACTATTAAAATTTAATAATGAACAGCCTTCGTTCAGCTATTAACGGCAATAGGCTGATGATAATTGACCAGTAAGACAAAGATGTCACACATTTATATACTTGTGTTAAAAATCAACTTACCCTGTATAACAACATTAATAGTAGCCCTCACAGGGTCCCCAACCCCGTTGTTGACTACGCACTCATACACGCCAGCTAAAAGGCGATGTTCTGCGCGAAATCTGATGCGGGAACGGTGCTCCAGTAACGCCATAGGTTCACCCTGGACGGTAAAAAAGTGGGGGTTTTATTAAGATTGAAGTGCGAAAGGTGCTGAAATGTATGAAAAGTAGAGTTAACTAACCATTAGAGCAAAATAATTTTACCATGTGTTGGAAAAGAAATAGTTTTTCTATAAGTAAAAATAACTTTTTAACTTAATTATATGATTTTGCTTGAATTTTCCTTTTTATTCATTTTTCGTAGATTTTTAATTAATGATTTTAATGTTTCTGTTGCATCAACAGCATTTAATAGACCACTGCTTTACAAAGGCCTCTTCTTATAACGAAGGAAGTAGACCAAAAATTCAGAGAGGGTACATGGTTTGTGTCAAGTTTTCCTTCTCTTTGCAGTGGTGTTATTCAGCGTAGTTTACTCCCTTAGTCGGCTCTTACGACACCCACGGGATGATTGGCGTTGGCGTTGATGATGATGTACTGATAGAAGATATGTGTATCAATTGTTGGCGATACAAAATAAATAAAATTATTTCTTATTCTTTGTTTTTATCCGAACGCCACTTACATTCTTCCTCCAGTCCACAATAGGTGAGGGAGTGCCACCTGTCTCACAGCCGATGTCCACTAAGTCGCCTTTCCGAACCTCCACGAAACCATCTTCTGGTATCGTCTTCACCGTTGGAGGATCTGAAAATTGTGTAGGTTTACATTTGAGTGGCCAAAGATCTAAGCTGCAAGATTGGTGTACGCTTCTAAAACTCAAGTAGTTCTGCACCAATTGAGCTCAAATTTTGATAAACATACAAATTCAACTCAAACTCTCTTTATTTCATAAAAAATAAAAATTGTTTAAAATCGTCTTTTGATGTGAATCTAAAGTCATAGATCAACACACACAAAAGCAACAATCTCTGTTTTATCAAATAGTAAGCAAATAAATTTAACAAAAATCAAACCCATACAAAATCTATATATGCCTGTGTCGATCTACAACCGCACGTTTCCAAGGGGTTGAGCCTTATGAGAAGAAAGGGCAAACAAACTCATGGATATGCCAAATACAAACCGATTCAAAGATTGTTGGAACGAAGTTCCTTATGGCGCATTACACGCTCTGAGCGGATGGGAGCGAGACCAGAAAATGTGTAACAAGACTTTTTTCCGATACTGTAGCAAACGTCTCCCAAAAAGCGAGATGAACTTCGTACCAACCGGGTAACTTCCATAGACTACTCACGCCGTTTGTTTTTTCTATTTTTCGCGTCAATTCTCATCATTGCAATGTCAATGTAACACAGCGAAGCGTAGCTGGGTACGCCTAGGATTATATAAAATTTCGAATCCCTTCAAAATCTTAAGCTGACTTTGGAATAGAATGGAGCTTTAAGGATAGAAAACTTAGAAGGAACCAGAGCGGTTCTTATAAAGCATCATAACTCCAAAGATAACTTACATTGTACTTCGATGGAGTGCGTCTGCCTTATAGGCCCCCATGGTTCTGGTCTCACTATCTGGAAATAAATAAAACTTTTTAATTTCAAGTCGTGATATGACAACACTGGAAATAAATGGCGTATGCTACAATCAGAGTAATATGTAAAACGTCTATGACATCACTTTCTGGTCAACAACAAGTAGGTACAGTCGCGCATGTAAATATGGGCACAGAATAGATAATAGTTAAAATAGGACGATTAATTATTTAAAATAATTAGTAGTACTGTCTTTCTTCATTCTAAGCTCTAAAGTTAAAGATTTTGTCTGCTGAGTAGCACAACTGCATTTTATATGTGGGAGAGTTATGCTTTATGGCCTCACAGATAACCGGTGTTAAGCAATTCTTTCACTGTTTTCCTTTCAACTGATTCTTGTGTTGTAGGTGTCCTTCGACAGCGGTAGTCACTTACCATGAGATGACCCGTCTGCTCGTTTGCCATATACCATAAAAAAGTAAAAAAAATGTAGACGTGTAACAATGTACGACCTGTCTAAACTGACTTAAGGAAAGCCAAGATTAACTGACATTGTTAGAGTATAAAATCTAAGGTTAATAAAAAGAGGCAGTAGCTTTATGACTTATGTTTGACATTAAAAATTCTGTGCTCCAAAATGCGCCATTTTACATGCCTGTTTTATAACAGGTTTATGAATAAACTCTCAATAGCTAAATTCTTTAAGTTTTTTTTTAAATACAAGGAACGAACAGATCAGCTGGTGGTAAGTGCCTACCCCTACCCATAGTCACATAAAACTCAAGGGTCACAAGGGCATTGTTGACTTTCAGGTGGAATTACGTACTTTCTTGTGAGGTATCCGATGTTCACTTTATATTAAAGTCATGACTGTACGTATTTGAATCATTTTAATTGTGATCAACATAAAGCAGTGAACATGACGGCATAGCGTTAATTAATTAGAGCGTAACTGTATTCTAAAATTAAAAGGGACAGATAATTACTAAAACAAATCATGTAGTCAACAAAAAATCACATAAATTTTAATTAACGTCCATAAATAAGAATTTATGGATAATAGCCTCGTAATCTTATATATAAAATTCTCGTGTCACAATGTTCGTTCCCGTACTTCTCCGAAACGGCTTGACCGATTCTCATGAAATTTTGTGTGCACATCGGGTAGGTCTGAGAACACATTATACACATACATATTATTTCTTTACTTCATTTCAATTAAACCATATGACTCCTTTTTACTTTTAAAAACAAATTAGACGCTACCTCACTCCCGTCTGTACATTGGCCATTTACTAGACTTGCAACGAATATTCGGTTACTATTCGGTATTCGGCTGCTTTTATTATATTCGGCCGAATACCGAATATCTACATATTATTCGGCCGAATACCGAATACTTAAATAATATATTTTGTCATTGAGAAATAATTGGTAAAATGAAAAATTAAAATCGATTGATTACGTATATATTCATATTTTCATTTCTGTTAAAATCATTTAAGTAGTCATTGGTGCATAACACAGGTACATAATCATCTTCTGAATAGGAAAAATGGAGGATTCTATGTATTTGAATTATTGTGGTAATCAAAATTTAGAAGGGTAAGTAAGGTTCTCATTTCTTTTATAATAATTTATTAAGTAGTCATTGGTACATAAAACAGGTACGTAATTTAATTCACGTCTGTACAAGTTTTTGGCGCTAAAATCCAACCGAATACTTTTGCCTAATATTCGGCTATTCGGTCAGGGGCCTCGCCGAATATTCGGTATTCGGTATACTGCCGAATATACTATTCGTTGCAAGTCTACCATTTACCCATCCCGTAGGGTGGTCCGTAATGTAACCACTTGCCGGGCTAACTGCCTATTGAGCTAATTACTTACTTCCTTTGCATAACGGATAAGTCAAAGTTGAAATAATTTCAGTGCATACTTCACTCGGTTATGCAAATTAAAGAAAGAGAAAAAACTCAAATTTCACTGACTATGCCAAAATTTAGCATTCAAAATTGCTAACGACTTACTACATCAAATAAGTTACTTAGTACCTACTCAAAACTTTATTAAAATGGCATTATCTAAATCCCACAGAGACATATCAAGCGTATACTGCAAAGACAGACCTCTCTGTAATTCAGTACTTTTCGCTTTCCGAAACTCATGAATTTGAAATCAACGAAAAATTTTCTTTCTCACAAATTTCAATGTCAATTTTAGCGTCACGACAGTACTGCTCAAAAACATCTGGAATGTTAAAATAATAATAACCTAACAAATCGCACACACGACAGTCTATTGGGGACGACCCGATGACGTAGTGGTTTTTGTAACGGACTGCTATTCCAAAGGTCGCGGGTTCCATTCCCGCCCAAGTCAAATATTTGTCTGTAAGAACATTTAATGTTTGATTTGGTCTGGGTGTTTCTATGTTTAATATGTACGTATTTACAAAAATAAAGTATATATGTGTTTATATCGGTTGTCTATTACCCATAGTACAAGCTCTGCTTAGTTTGGGACTAGATGGTGTTGTGTTAATGTGGTAAAATATATTATTTTTATTATTATTACCAATCTAGGCAGAGCCTGTACTATGGTGGTAAACTTGCTTATATAATTCTCAATATATACAAATTAATAGGTAACTTACACCTAGACACAGAAATAGTGATCGTGCTCATCATACAATTATTTGTCCCTGAGTGGGGATAGAACCCACCACCTCTGATTTAGCAGTCAGGGTCACTAACCACTAGACCAACATTCTTGTCATTACGGAACACGACGGCAACGCTATTGCCTAATTTATGGTGTTTGAACACAATAATAGCGAGTTCCCCTCAGTCACTTCTTGAAATCCACCATATTGTCCATACATGCATCAAAACACGAAAGGAATAGTAATAATATGTATTTAAAAATACATTTGTACATGATTATAGTTAGTTCAGTAAACCATAACTAACAACTTATTTTTTTTGATGTACGCATGTAAAATGTACGCGAGGGTACTAGTGTATTTTACCCCGCGGTCCTAACCTCGTTAACTTTTTATTCCAATAAGGTATATATACTTTTTATTTTTTTTATTGTATAGTTCGGTTGACATCTTCTGGCTGAACTGATGATTGAACCATGAGGTGAATTCGTTCAGTAAGTACTATTTAGTAATTCTCTGGGTTTTGTACTTTCGGTCGGTCGTCGGTCGGTCGTTTGACGATGGAATCAGGTTAGGTTTTATACCGGATTTCTATTCACTTTTTAATTAGGTCTAAATTAATGCGTTTTTATTTTATTTACTAAACGGTCATTTATTACCTAAATAAATGAAAATATTAAACAAAAATTTAGTTACGGTGATGCACCAGGATCTTGCATTGTGTACTTGCAGTGTATACTCGTTAAGATTACTTCTGTTCTAAAGATTTTTAGGCTTTCAAAAGCAGTGAAAGACATAAACTATAAAAGTTAACTAACAAATTATGTTTCTAGAGTAGACAATTAAAGGTTTTATTCATTTTATAGCAGCGTCCAATCGAAGAGTATGTGTAAATTTATATGACGATAATTTTAAAATAGACTGTTGTTGGGAGCAAAAGAGTTGATACTAATTGATTAATTGCATAATTGGTTATGTTTGAGAACTTCGACCATGGAGGCTAGTGCAGCGACTTTTTTATCGATATTTTTTATCGTTACTGAAAGTCGTTGTCAGGTTTTAGAAGTTATGTATAACCGGCAAAACCCGTACACGTATTTAAGTAACCTATTATAAATTTTTCCGTTCCTCTCCTTGAAATCATTCCCATAGATGGCAGAAAATAGAGAGCAAAAAAGTTACACAAAACTAACCTCCAATATCGATTTGATTTAGTGTCACCTCTGATAGCAAATTTCAACTATATCGATATATCTTGATTGATTTGTCGCATCACTAGTTAGACTAGTAACGAATTACAAACGATTAAGATCGAAGGGCGGGAGCCTTTACGTCACTTACATTAATTGCTATCTCCAATAAAAACTCATTCATTGTTCTGTTTGCAGTCAAGCCTTTATTAAAGTTCAAAGCTTGTGTGATTCCCGAACGTATTAAACGGCTTAAAAAAACGGAGTTATTTCTCACTTTAACCGTATTTTTATAATTGTTAACGATATAAGAAGGCAAACGAGCAGACGGGTTATCTGATGGTAAGTGACTACAGCTGCCTATGAACTCAAGGGTCATAATTAGACATGGAAATTATTTCTAATTTTAAATCATATTCATTTGATGAAATGATTGATTTTAGTCACAGCAATTGCACATGTGATTGTGATTTCGTCATAGACAAAGATAAGTGGCATTAAAATCGATCAAAATTCCTTTTATCATACATTACGACCTTTTTTTTAGATGAAGACTTGTCGCGAGTCTTGCGCTAGCGTATTAATAATAATTACGTAGCAGTGGTTAAGTAATTCAGTCACAGGTGCGATATAATAATTTAAATAATATGATTTACCACATGTGATTGTGATTTTATGCCCCCCCAGGTCATAAGTGCATTGCCGCCCGAATGGGATGGCGGGAGCTTGCTTGGGATCTGGTAGCCTTGCTCACTCGGTGAAAAGCCACAAAAGAACTACTTAACACCGGTTTTCTGTGAGGTAATGCTATCACTCTGGTCGAGCCGGTCCATTTGTACCGAAGCATGGCTCTCCCACGTGTGATATCACAGAACTCCGTCATTTGTTGTTGATAAGCGTTGTGTTGTGTGCTGTGTCTTGGGGTGGTTTGTCTGTGGTGTGTGTGTTTGGGAGTATATGAGTGTGTTTGTCGGTCTGGCTGAGTAAGGTTTTTATTATTGCGAATAGCTACACTATTGTATTAGGTACATAACCTGTAAAAATATTTGGATTGTGTGTCATAAATAAAATAAAATAAATGAAGTATTTTGAAAATTATTTCTTGTGTCTCTTGAGCTGCGGTGTGTCCATGGCCGCTGTAGTCATTGGCAGCAGATGACTCCTATTCCATAAAAACCCGAGGGACTTCTACTCAATCGTCACGGTGGCCGCTTTCGACGTTGTGATTGGTAAAGTGTTTAGGTCGGGCCAATCACAACGCCGGATGCGGTCACCGTGACGATTGAGTCGATGTGAAATGAACTTACACTAGGCTTTTTGCATAGCTTACCTCGCAGGTATAATCAGCTGTATCCTGGGCTTGCAGGGAGTCAACTTGCAAGCTGTAGTTGGCGTGCATACTGATTCTTGGGGGCAGAGCCTCGTGTAACTGGCTGTCGCCTAATAGCTGGTCGTCCTTGTACCATCGGACCCGAAGACTTGAGTCTGTGGAGAAATAAGTTTTTTTTTAAACCATAATGCTCTGTTTTCAAGTGTAATCTAAATCACAAAAATCGCCGGTTTGTAAATTGTCGGGTTTTTTTATATTTCAATAATTATCTTCTTTAAATTACTAAAAATATTACACATTATAATTATTCATCAACAGCCTTTAATAGCAGTGCTGCTGGACATAGGCTGCTCCTTATTAAGAAGATTTTGCCCTACTATACCACGATGGCGGGTTGGTATAGGGTTTGCGACAAGTTTTCTCCCTTAGTCGGTTCTTACGATACCTACGGGATGAATAATTAGAAAATAATATAGTTATAATATACTAAAAGTTGGTTATATGTAAAAAAGCGACGTCTTTACTAAAAAGTAAATTACCTTGGTAAGGCGTTATTTTCTAAGCCGGAGGGTCACTATCAATGGACCACAATTGGGCCACAAAGATGTGGATCTTTCCTCCTTCCTGTCGCTAACAAGCGAGTTCACGAGGCTATAAGTGAACAATGGACGTGGCATTTTAGAAAATATGTAACTACCTAAGTTATGTATATTAGTTTATGATCTTTATTATTTTTATGGCATAAGGAGCAAACGAGAAAAAGGGTCACGTGATGGTAAGTGACTACCGTACCCTTGAACACCTGCAGCTCAAGAGTCACAAGTGCGTTGCCACACTTTAGGTCCACCCCCCAGAGTGGGGGGCGAAAGGGTTTGGGCACCGGAACTTGATAAACAGAAATTAACGTTTTGGAGCATAAGGTGAAAGGACAAACGGATCGTAAATTATCAAAAGACTGGAATATCAGAAGCGCACATAGACAAAAGCGCACAATGTAACCGCATCCATTTTAAAATACGTATGTTTGAAGCTTGTTCTGTGTACAATATCTAATCTTCTCAGAGTCGTATGACGCGTGTAGAACACAAAAATGTGTGGCTTTTGTTTGTATGATTTATCGATGCTATAGGGGCATACTTTTATCGGTGACTGTCCTCATAGGGTACCGGTTCTGATCCATACATTGAAAATACTTGTTCTAAGCGGTGTGAAACATTACATTACATTTTTAATTTATTTTGTGCATCTACCATGTTTTAGCTCTGCATCGCCTTATGATTGACTGGGAGAAAATGCCCACGGCATTAAATCCGTCTTTGTCACATTTATGCATAAAGTCTAAATAAATCAATAAATAATATAAAATAAGGCGTTCATGATAGGTATTCTAGTCATTGGCTGTGATCACAAGCTGACTGGTCATCCTATGACCACAGTGTAACCTGTTCGAAACTAGGACTCAAGGACTAAATAACATTTCTTGAACTGCGCGTGTCTTTGAAATTGACTGCACGGATGGCGTAGTGGTTTAAGCGGTCGCCACGCCGCTTTCAACTACGCTGAGTGTTGTGGGTCCGATCCCCACACGGGTCATCACTTTGTATGATCCACAAATTGTTGTCCTGAGTCTGGGTGTTCTTTGTGTCCGTTTGTAAAGTCCCCAGCGACACAGGATATATTCCTAATGCGGGAGTTGTTTTTTTAATATAATAAAAAGAAAAAGAAAAACATATTTTTACACATATATCATAATGTTTAGGTTTCTAATTTCAAAAATAGTGAAATTGGGTTATTTTGATGAATCTTGGGTTTTTGCTGACTATCTAAATGATGTCAACCTTTCTGGTGAATGTGACCGGGGACGGGCTACTCGCTGGAACGAGCTATATCATACATATAAAATTGTGATTGGTTAAATTAGAAGAAAGTTAGGTGATTGGTTAAGTTAGGTTAGGTGTATACCATAAATGCACCAGGGACTTCCTTTCTAGGGTGTACCTGGTTCCCCGGCTATTAGAACCCGAGACGGCGTGCGGTTTTAGTCGGTTCGAGCCCGACATGCTACCGATAGGTGGGAAAAAAAAAAAGGTGTATACCATAAAAATATTTCATGTATTACGCGTACTAAGGCTCGTGTACACGGTGCAATATAAATGTAGGTACATAAGTAAGTGCTATGACGTACATCTGTTCAGCCACGTAAGCAGACGAAAGACAAAAAAACAATTTTGAATGCTAAACATCTGTCTCGTTATGATCTTAATGAACTCTTAATACATCCGATGTCTCGGTGTAACTTTCTTATACGGACGTAAAAGTGAAAAGATACGTCGTGACAAATATATTATCTACTAGCTGGTACCCGCGACTTCGTTTGCGTGGAGTTTAAAAGGCGTTGCCTTAGTCGGCTCGATTCCCGGACCGGGCAAAATTTTAAAGGGTTTCTCTGTGAGGAAAAATAGCCTAAGTTACTCCTTATGTAGACAGCCGTATATCGGTCTAGCCGTTTAAAAGATTACCCGAAACAAAAATTAAACTGGTTTTTAGGCATAGGTACCGTGTAAAAAACCATGTGATTTTAAAATGAACACGTTGGTGAAGTTGCAATGGGTCCCAGTGCATATTGGTTTACGGGGGAACGAGGCAGCGGATCGTCTGTCTAAAGTAGCGGTGACAGAAGGCGTCCGAGTATATTTTTTTACCGATTAGCTCGTAATTTTTTAAATACATATATTAATTTACGAACTCTATTTACTAAACTTTTAATGTGTGTCCTAAAGGAGAGGGTATTGTAGATTATGATCCCTAGATATTATATGTTATGGGTTTCCTGGATAGCAGTACAGGCAATGGAAGTGTTAGTTACAACAGCTAGTAGATTTTTTGAAAGTAAAAGTGAATATATTTAGTCTTGTCGGGATTTAATGTTAGAAGATTACTCTTTAACCAAGTATACACAATATTAAAGACAAACTGGGCGCTCTAATATAATTCCTAGTAGGAGTATAAACCTGAATTTAAAACTAAATGTTTTGATAATTGGAAAGAACATTTTAACACCGTATCTAAAGAAAAAGGAATACGGTACAAGACAATTCAAGACGAACTTCCTATTATAGAATGGTTTAACTGTAGTAGGTTAAGTAGAAACTACGTTAAGTTAGCTCTAAGATTGCGATCCGGGCACTATCCATCGGCATACAAAGTTTGCATTCCTAATTAAAAAAACAATTCACCTAACTGTATTACTTGTAACGGGGTGGAGGATGTGCAACATTTGCTCATAGATTGTGTCAGGAATAAAAATGAAAGGGAAAAGCGAATTAAGAATTTAAATTAAATATATTAGACGTGGGGTTGGTCCAAATAAACAGTTTTGTCACAACCAAAATCAGAAGTAGCAAAAAGACTTGGTTAATTAGTTTACTTCATTGTTTAGTATTTCTCTTCTCTAATTAGATTTAAGAATTTGTTGGATGTAGATAGCATAAGGCATGATGGGCTTACAAAAAAAATACAAAAAAAAATTAAGAATGAAAAAAAAACTGTGTGAGCATAAACAAACCTATTATTTTGGCAATACAAACAGACACTTAATTTTTTTTTATTTGTATGTATAGGATAAAGCATAATTTTGCACCATTAAATATATAAAAACCCGTACTAAATAAATAACCTCGAAAATTAAGACAATCGCGTGTTTAATTTTATTTTATTTAATAGTAAATCATTATAACTATGATATATAATAACACAAATAAGGCTTGCTCTAATCTATGGGAAGCAATTTGTTTAGACAAAATGTTCCACTGTTTTGTTGTAAGGCTGAGTGTACACATTCGAGAGATTGCGATTGGAAACAAGTGGCAGTTGTAGTGAAATATAGCTATATTCTTCTTTCGCTGCATGTTTTAAATTAATAAGGTGACAAAAAACAATATCTTCTTAAGGAGGTGAGAATTGTTGATTGCCTTCATCCCATACGGTTTGTAATGACTAGTGCGTTTTTATGTTCATTTAGCGTTTTCCGCTTAAACTGAATTGACAAATATACTAAACCATTACGGGGGGTTTCATTTATGTTATTTTTAATAGTTTTACAAGACAAGTGCAATAAAGAGCTCTTAGAACTTAAGGACAAAACTAACAAACGTAAAACACTCACTCCTATTTTAAATTACCAGGACCTAGCCTAGAAATTTTTAAGGTTTAGCTGTGTTCATATCGCACCACTTATTTATACGCGTTGCCTGAGAATATCTCTTCCGTATCACAAATTTTGTGCTACGTTAAAGAATTGGCTAGTAGCAAAGTGCTTTTGCTCCGGATCTGATTTTTTGTTTAAGTACCCTACTCTGTCATATCACTTCAGAAATGCATCAGTGTAGTAAATGTTTTTGATATGATTTTTAATATTTAAATTGGAATGTAATTAAATAGCAAATTAATCATTAATCTAATGTTTTAAGTAGTTTTGATTCATAATTTTATGTGTTATTTAAAAATAATGTCTTGTGCTTTTAACATTGTAAAACACCTACTGCGATTACCACATTTTCTGAAGAAATATTATTATTATTCTCATATAAAAGATTTTCTTTTCTTCATTAAGTATGAGGTGTCATGCAACTAAGCACGTCTGTAGAATACACTTTAGTTGATTAGTGTTTGAGACCATAAACAACATAGTGCGATCAAACTTATAAGTTAAAAATGTTAGTTACGTTTTCGTTCCCTAGATGGAGCTGTTGAAAAACTTAGATCGCGCTATGGCTGTGTTACACGCGTTAGTATTTAAGGTCTACAAACATTTTGTATGACAGATCAAGACTGGAGTTTAGGTCAAAGCGATTGCCAATTAAAGCGTGGAATCTTACGAACTCATAGTACAGTACACGGTGGTATCAAACAATTAGTATCTACTGGATTTAATCACATATAACACTTTTTGTTATTACTTACATTTATAAATTAATTTCGCCTAAATTAAAGTACACACATGAACAAAAAATGACACCTCGTTTCTACAATCACGCACTGTGTTTTTGTAAACGCACGTGCTAATCCTGCTATGGGGCGGATTGGACAACAGAAGACAGATTTAATTCCGATTGAACACACCGGACCATGCACCCTACCCATTAAAAATGATTTCAATAGCCAGCTCTGTAATGACCCTATTACCATGAACAGAACAGTTTACGGCGTAGTTTATTTTTAAGACAGTAATAATAATCGGTTTCGTTTTCTTCTTGATAACTATGAAAATAACCTTTTACAGAGTTGGCAGTACATGTGCCTACTGATAATATTACTCAACATCATAAAACCAACCCCTCCCTTAATTCTTGGGGGAGGGCTACTAAAAGGGTGACAACTCATTTGTGACTTATATTGCAGGTGTCTATGGGCGTCAGCACTTAACATCAGGTGACCTCTATAATAAAAAAACCCAATGATTCGAGGGACTACTAGAACAGAGACATTAAGTGAAAACATAAGCAATTAGCATAAATACACTTTCTAAAACATAATAGCGCGCAAATGTTTCCATACTGAAACAACTGAAAATATAGAATGTTCAGCGTCTGTCCTCAACTTGCAGGCAACTTATCATTGAATATTTCGGACATGTTGCTGGAGCAATTGATGGTCACTGGATAGGTAGAAGGCAAGAGACCCAGAGGCAGAAGTCCCAGAAGATGGTTAGACCAGATCGCTGAATAGTGCCAATAAGTATCGCACCCAAGCGACTGATCGCAACCGATCTAAGCAGACGGTTGACAGGATGAAAGGGAGTCACGATCCTCAGTAGTGAGGGAACGATTAGGAAGAAAACATATTTATCCGTATCTTAAAGATCTGATAGGAGAGTCATCCAATAAATGCATGCTAAGACAGCCACGTGTTCCTTTAGTAATTCATTTCAATAAAAATAATTGTTTGCTCCATTAACGGCTACGATTATCAATGCTAACTACATGTTTTGATGTTTAAGTTTGCCATGTGCTTTAGTTTGTCATGCTAAAGTAAACGAATCGCTAAATGGGACGACCCTTTATTGACAACCCATATACATACACAAAAATGTATACATTTACCACCCGTTTTGTATTAAAAACAATAAATGGAATTTTTTTTGCGTTATAAACAATATTAATAAAAGATTTTTTATTCTTTCTTTCAGTTATATGTGCTTGCATGCCTGCACTCAGCCTTACAATGATTCGGCTATCAATAGTTATAGTGCGTAATAAGTTCAAGTGCGGTGATCACAGAGTTCCGCCATTTTGATTAAGCGTCTCTAAGTAACAGAGAAGTAAGTAAGCCCCCAATTTCAGTAATAACTTAATTTTAATGTGTTTGTTTTTATACTGTTTGTGTGAAGACGTGGAAAATTATAGAGAATTTATATATGAGTATATGTTTACGCAGTGAGTGTGTGGGCGAGCAGGCATCGAAGATGTATTCCGTTCAGATAAGCAGTACATTAATAATAATAACCTCACACATGGTTGTCTGATCTCAAACTAACCAGGGCTTATAGTAAAATTATTATCAGACTGCTGATAAACATTCTTATATACTCGTATTTCTAATTACATACACATTATAGATAAATTACACACAATTTTTTAAGTGCCGAAGAACCAGGTGTACCGTAGGAAGGTAACCTCAGTTAAATTATACCTAGACACAAAACAAATGATCGTGCTTGTTCTTTGTGGGAATTGAACTCACGACCTGCGGCTTAGCAGTCAGAGTAACTAAGCACTAGACCCGGGCCGGACCCGGCAACAAGCCTGTCAATATTATTACCCGATACGTTTCCCAAGCCGTTCTCAGTTTTTTGAATTATGTCTGATTGGATCACAGGGGTCATACACCCTCAAATGGTTATACGAAAGAAAATGTGCAAGAACGGCAGTCGACAAAATGCAGCCGGATATTTGCCGGCCGCATATCCAGATTCTACGGATATCGTGTATCCGACATTAGAGTTATCAGCTTCATCTATTAACGTGACCCTACTGTTAAAACGCTCTTGACTGTGGTCAATCCTGGATTCAATACAAACCCGTTAATATAAGTTTTTATGTAATGTTAATAGTCCATTACGTCTAAACTGACTGACAGACAGACTGTCAATTCTTATAACAACTGTGTACAATCCACATCAGTTCCATCCAGATCATTTTATTAGATAATAAAAACTGCTTAAGTAATTCCTCATCACGAATCAAAATAAATAACGATTTAAAAATATGGCACCTTTATTTTTGAAGAGGTAGAGTTTAAAATGGGAAAGTTTTTTTTTAAAGTAATATAGGGCTTTATTATGCTAATGAGATTGTAAGAACTTCGTAGGGTGAAAGCGCTTGTTTTCGGCCCTCGGACAGTCACAAGAAACAGTGATTAAAGAGTTCAATTCATAAAAACGTTTTTATTGAAAGTTTTAATAAGTGTGTATGAATTTGAATGAAACTTCTGCTTTATATTGTGAATCATAGACAACATTGTATGCCGTTTTAATGATTATGTACCTTAGATGAATTGAATTTGGGTTATATTTTATTCGTGTACATTGGTCTGTAACAGGGAATCAATATTCAACAAATTCCTTTGTGAGCGTATTCGACATTTGTCAGATGGGCTTGAGTATATGGAAAGCCACCCCTAATAGGTCAGTTTAGGAGCAGTAGGTTGTCTTCTAATCCTTGTCTAAATCCGGTTGCAACATAAAAAGAGTGGAGTATCTCCCTATCTCTCTTATGACCCTCACTCGAAACCGTCAAGTTAGTAAACATAAAGTGACCGATTAAATGACAAAAAATATATCAATGGCCGAACGTTGGAACGACTACCCTATTAATCCATATATTGTAATGGTGCATTCATCTTACCCATGGAGAAAGATTTTTATTGAGATTATAGTCAAAAACAATTACTAATATTTTATCTCACGTACTTACATGAAAATCATAAAAAAGCAACGTCTTCTACATAATAAAATATAAATAGCTCCTCTACCGATAACCGGACTTGTTTTACGGACTATGTATATTATTATTGTTACAGAATTCTTTTTAAGGAAATATGTTAACTGAAAATCATGTATTTTTTCAATAATTCTGTACTTGTTTGTCACTGTAGTAGTATCACTGGTGCCATGATGACGCTCTCCATATTTAAAAAAATGTAAGAATGGCGCACCACTGCGTTTAGAACTACCCTTATTGAAAGACTCCTTGAAGTTTTATTTTAAGCTGTGATCACTTACCTGTTTCATCAATATAACACGGCAGCAGCACTGTATCATTTTCGTAAGTTTTAACTGTCACTGGTACACTTTTAAACGGTTTTTCACAGGTCACTGTTGTTTGTGAAAACACACATAATATCACTGCCATTAATACCAACATTATTAAATTTTATCTAGCACCTGATACACCACTACCTAAACTAGAAACAAAACATTAAAAAATAACATCCTTTCTTTGTTTGTTTTACCAATTATTTTTCCATTCTAAATTGTTTTTCAAAGAGATAGGCTCTTTGGAAAACAAATCACATAAAACGAAGTGAGAACAAAAAATAAAGGAAATATCTAAAAAAAAATCATTTTAATAAGAAAATTGACCATGTATATTTTTTAGTTATAGACTGAGGAATTATACGACAAGCACTATGAACAGGAATTAAAAAAAGCGCGGTAAACTCGTTGATTTCCGAACTAAGTTAATTTCTTGCAAAGGCAACGGATGTGCAGTCACTAGGTTTTTTTGTTCGCGGTTGTGTCGTTGAAATTATAGGATTTACGGTCTACCGCGTATAGTGAGGCTCTGTGTTAATTAGTTTTACATTGATGAACCAAAACCGATTTTAGAAAAAAAATAAGGATAAAAAATAAATAAATTGTCTATTGTGCATGATTGCACACACTATAAGTAGTAGTAATAAGAAAAATGAATACATTTATATTTTTTTAATTTACGAAGCTTTTATAATTTTATATTGTACCAAAGACGATTTAATAATAATAACATAAAGAAATAAAGTGTTCGATGTATTTAAACACGCGCGTCTTGGCGGGAAACCCGAGAGGGACTGTCATCACTGGCGCATGCGCCCGACGCGATCAGACAATTAACTTTAACTCTGGCAGTGACACAACGAGGGCAATATCTTTTTTTTTTGTATTCTGACCAATTTTTTTTTTTTAAAGTACGTCATATGTACACATTCAATTAAGAAAACTTGGGCAAAAAATTCAAAATAAAATAATTCGTCTTATTCCACTGCTATTATCTTACTCGTATGAAACTAATTTACGAAGAGAAAACCATTTTACCACCCAAAGCTCGTAACTAGGTATGTAGTTGGCTTACGTTCATAATGAAAACAAAGTGCCACAAATATGATACGCGTTTGTAACATCCCGCATCACACATGACAGCACTCAACCATAAAGTATCTTTCCAACAATGTAATAAAATGTAACACTGAGCATACTCAGTCAGCAATCCTGTGTTGAAGGGGGATTTACAAACATTTATAACACGGACACAAAGAACACCCTGACTCAGAATAACAATTTGTGGATCACACAAAGTGCTGTCCCATGTGGGGATTGAACCCACAACACTCAGCGCAGTAGGAATCGCCAAGATGATTGTTTAAACCATTACGCCATCAGCCCAGTCAATTTTGCACATTTGACTTCCCCTGTTATTTAAATTGTAATATAATATTAGTATTGAGTTACTGATGATTAATTTGTTTCATTTAAAGTAGTCAATGTCTTAATATGCCCCAAAACCTCACTCGGGACCTACTAAACAACAATTAAAGCCCTCTTTTTTGTGTGTATTTTAATCCAATATCTATGCCATTCGTGAACAGATTGCGATAATTATTTGTTTAATTGAAAAGCTTTTACTTAAGGTTGGTCCAATTCAAATATTCCCTCTCTTAAGTTTGCAATATTAAGGTAAGACGCATGTAGATTCTTACAATTTATCATTGTTTTAGCTTATTCACAGATTTAGGCGTATTGGAAGTCTGTGATAATTGTGAATATTAATTATAAATGTAATAATTAATTATAAAGTTTTGATATGAGTATACTATATATACATATACTTCGTATGATAAATGTCACTAGTTATGTAGATCTCTTGATGACATGTCATGTCAATAAAAAAAAACTCAATGTGCCTCAGACTTTACAGTATCCAGTCAATTAATTGTATCACCTTTAATTTAGAAGAACATATGAGAACAGCTAAGATTAGACAATTGTAGTATCTGTTACGAGGAAGCCACCAATACTGCTGCAAATAATGGTAAGCGCATTTCAAGGTTACTCAAATTCTAAAGTGCATTTCATGATGGAATTTTTAACCGAATTCAATAAGAAGGCGTCTATATTTTTTTTTTTGCGATTTGTTTTACTTGAAAACGGCTACAAAACCCTTCCAGTATACGTGTTACATGTCATGGTATATAGGTCTATGTAATGACAGTTCAGGATATACTGGACAATGAAATAAAGCAAAAATGAAGTATGGTTGAAATTCAACTATCAGACGGTCTCCAGTATATATTAAAAGCGTATTTCACTTTATTTCATTTATTCTTTATGATATGTTTATTGTATAGATGTAAGTGACAAGGAAATGTTAAGTACAAAGGTGAGCTTAACTCAAAAAGTGTTCATCCAGCAAACCTCAATAGAGCAGAACAGAGAAACGTAATGGCAGTCATGCGTACTTGGAAATCAATCATCATCACCGTCATCAACAGCCTTTACTAGTCCACTACTGGATATAGGCCCCTCCTCAGAAAGGAGGTTAAATAAAGAAAAGTATATAATTAAGTGAAGATTAAGATATATAAGTGCAGAATTCCAACAGTTTTAAAAATAATATGTGCTTTGAAGTTATAAGTAATGTAAAAATGACTTTACGTACAAAAGTCTACACAAATACTGGTGAAATAAATAAAACAAGTAATTCAAAACAGTCAACTTTTTGTCAGACTTGGTATACTTTTATTTTTTTTAAAAAAACATCACGTCTAGTTACTTTTCTTCACATTTAACTGTCACATATGTCACAAACTTAATAAAGGCATTTTAGTCCATCTAATTTGACTGCACGGAGGACGTAGTGGTTTAAGCGGTTGCCACGCCGTTACTGCGCCGAGTGTTGTGGGTTCAAACCCCACATGGGACGACACTTTGTGTGATCCACAAATTGTTGTTCTGAGTCTGGGTGTTCTTTGTGTCCGTTTCATGTATGTTTGTAAAGTTCCCCGCAACACAGGATATATTCCTAATGCGGGAGTTCTCTTTAAATTAAAAAAAATTTAAGCGGTATCGGTTGATGTTTCATACTTTTCAAGACGAAACAACTTTGTATAGGCGTAACTCACACAATTTCAATAACCTTTTTCGTAAAACCATGGAATTATGAATTTAATTATATTCCTCATGACTAACTTTAAATTGTAATCTTTGAAACAAAGCAAAATAACCAATTTATACACAATAGATGTTTTTTATTCAAACTTCGTTTCAAAGTCACGCAGTCACCCCCTTTACCGTAGTGTTCAGGCTCTTCAAATTCGTTCAAATGTACGAAAAATCGAATTTATCAATAACGAGTAATTTCCAATCCAACCTTCTTAAAGTGTTTAATAATACTTAAAATACATCTGCCATTCAACTGTCGACGAAAACTCAAAATGAGAATTAAAATTATGTGAGTCAATGTAATTTAAAACTAAACTTTGTAGGCAAAATCGCTTGTGTCTAAGTCTAGTGTGTACTAAGATTTACTAGTAAAACCTATGATATGCTATTACACGGACTTTTATAGTAACATACATAAATCTGTAAAACTGTAATCGAATAGTAAAAACTAAGAAATAATATCGATATCTCTTAAGAATCGGATATTGTAATAATCGATTTCTGTAAACGGTATCTCTTAGATTAGATGGACTATAACAATAAACACTGGCCAGTACGAAGATAAAAGTGTAAGCAATACAAAAAAAAAAACAATTCCTCCTTTATGGTCGATCAATATACATGAGATGAGATTCTCAACCAAAAGTTTGTGAGTAGTTATTTGTTTTAATGTGTGTGTAGGTGTATACTGGCCACCCACAAGCACCTACTGTTTGTTTCATACCAATATTATAAACGTCCAAGGAATTATTTTAAATAGTTCCAAGGATCTTCTTACCAGATTATCAAGTATCATGCAAGAACATAATATTTACGAGTACCTACATAACTAGCTGCCCTCGCATCTCCGTCTGTGTCTCTCAAAAAAATACAGTCGAATTGAAAGAACCTTCTCCTTTTTTTTGAAGTCGGTTAAAGAGGAATAAATTTGCCTCGTTTTTGCAACATTTTTTTATTAATCGAGCATCAATAAAAAATGATAGGCAATATTGGTGATGAATTTCATCATTTCATCATGATCATTTGATCATGATGTTTTATAGCCTAAGCCCAAGACTAAAATAGTTTTTAAATTAGAGCCAGTAGTTCATGAGATTTACGCGTTCAACCAAACAAAGCTTTAGAATATAGTACTATTGTAGTGTGTTAGGTAAAAGTAAAAATGTTCACATACCACAAGTCCAAGAAAAGGTCCAGTACAGGTCACAAATGTTTTTATTTCACGAATCACACAGTTAAGTAAAACAAGCACAAAGAACAGAAGGGTAAAGTCAAGCAATATAATAAGAAGATGGAAGAAACACTATAATCAGTTCAAAGCTCGGAAACAAAGTATAAGAAAAAATTATAACAATTAATACAGTGCGCGGTAGATGCCACAGAGCGTCAAGATAGCGAGCGACACAGGGTAGCATAGCGGGAGCGATAAGCTGACTGCCGCGGGATACAAGGGCCGGTGCGCCCGCGCGTCGCCGTTGTGGTAGGAGGCGTAAGCCCCGCCTATTGCACGCGTGTTAGTACGTCTGTGTATGCTTAATATATTAAATATAAATATTATGTGTATAGGTAATAAGTGTGAATGTATGTTTGTATGTATGCATGTATATATGTGGTGTGAGCCCCACATCACTCCCCCCCAGAGACCGTCACTGCGGTCGAAAGTAATCCGGGAATCGAACCTTGCGACCAGAACGGGTAGTTCTGGGTAATGTCTCGACAGGAATATCCTGACGGGGGTTAGGATGAGCGATAGAGGTAGGAATAGGGATGGGGTTAGAGATAGAAGTAGGAGTGGTTTCAGTCAAGGGGTCAGGGCAGGGGTCCTTAAGTATGTAAGCCGGCTTAAGTCGGTCTATTGAAACCGTTACGCTCTTGCCTTTGACCAGTATCTTGAAAGTCTTGTCCCCCCTGTCAAGCACTTGATAAGGACCGGTATACTGAGGCTGT